AACTGGATTTTTTTTCATAAAACATGTGACATTTTGCAATGTTATTAAATTCATGGAACTAATGTCAACTCAAAATGGAAAAAATGCTGAAAAAAACTATGTATATGTTTATATAAAAATTTATGATGCTGTCTGTCCATGCGCGGATCTAGGGTGGGGTGGGGGGTGGGGGGAGTCCGGACCCCCTGGAATTTGCAGATGTTTTAAAAGTATATACTGAAACAAATAAAAACTGACTTTGCCCCCCCCCCCCAACCCCCAGAAAACGTGGACCTCACCATCACCATCACGTTTGGGAAATGGATTTTAGGGGTTTTTTTTTTCATTTTTTCTTTTTAGTTTTTTTCTTTTTTTTTTTTTTGTTGCTTGTCAAGTAATTTTCTGGATAAGGAAGGGAATTTATTTTTTTTTTCCAATCTTCTAACTTTTTTTTTGTTTTGTATATGTACCTATGTCCAGTTTTTATATTATGTCTATATGTTATTAATGTACCCCATGTACCAATATTTTGGTTTGGGTGAATAAACTGGACTTGAACATTTTGCAATACCGATTTGTTGGGGGAGGGAGGAGTAAAAATATTTTTTGTCTATTAAATTTAGACTCTGCTAAGGTTCAAATTTAACACAGAAATGATACAGTTCTAAAATCGCTATGTCCAAGGAAAGAATTAAAAGATCACTGATCAGAAAATATGAGAATTTTCGTTAAATATATTTTGAAAAATAATTTAAATTAAGTTTTGGTCAACACATTGTTCAGAATAAAATTAGTTTTAGTTGCATGAACTTCATCATTGCATATATTACTTTCTCTCCTTTTAACAAAAATAAACAAGATGTCACGGTGTTTGTGAAACACTGATGCCCTCATATGGCAGCTTATGGCGAAGGTTAAAGTTTCTCAAATGCAAGTCAAACTCCAGGTCAAGAAATCAAAAATGTTGGTACCCAAAGAAAGGTCTTGTCTCGAGGAATATACCTGTAAAATATGAAAGCCCTAGTACAAACCATTGAAAAGTTATGGCGAAGGTTAAAGTTTTTTTTTCAAAGTAAACAGCAAGGTCAAGGTCAAATGGTGCCCAAGGGAAGTTCTTGTCACAAGTGATACACATGATCGTGAAAGCCCTAGAACCAAACGTTCAAGTGTTATGGCCAATGTTAAAAATTTTTAAAAGAAGATCGATATCCAAGGTCAAGGTCAATGCCAAAATTGTTGGTATTTAAAGGAAGGTCTTGTCACAAGGAATATACATGTGAAGTATGAAAGCCATAACACCAACTATTCAAAAGTTATGGCCAATGTTAAAGTTTTTCAAAACTATGTCAAACTTCAAGGTCAAGGTCAAAAGGTCAAAGTTGTTGGTATCTAAAGGAAGATCTTCACACAAGGAATGCATATGTGAAGTATGAAAACCTTAGCACTAACTGTTCAAAAGTTATGGCCAAGGCTAAACTTTTTTCAACAGTAGGTCAAACCCCAAGGTAAAGGCCAAAGCATCAAAGATGTTGGTATTCAAAGGAAGGTCTTTTCACAAGAAATACACTTGTGAAGTTTGAAAGCCCAAGCTCCAGGTGTTCAAAAGTTATGGCCAAGGTTAAAGTCTCATAAAATTTTGCAAAAATGGGTCAAACTCCAAGGTCAAATATGATGGTACTTAAATAAAGGTCTTGTCACAAGGAATACACATGCGAAATATGAAAGCCATAGCTCCAACCAATCAAAGGTTATGGGCAAGGTTAAAGTTTTTGCAGACAGACAGACAGCAAAAACTATATGCCCCCGAATCTTCGATTACACAAATACCCGGTAAATTTATTTCATGCAGAATGAATTTCTTTAAAAGGATTTTTAAAATTATGCAGATTTTGATCACAGATTTCATTGCTCTTGGAATTATTTTGCTATTCTGTATATCAGATTAACCAACTTTTTATTGATCAACATTTTATAACTTCTAAGATTGATCACTTTTATATATATGGTAATGGTAATGTCAATTTCTTAGTAAATACCTTGCAATTACATTCAATGTATTATATACAAATGAAGTAATTAAACTTTTCCTTTCAACACGCTCTTGATCTGTATACTATAAAAACACCCAATTCTGTTTATCTCATAAGATGATTTGCAAACTCTAAATTTCTATCTTAAAAAGAAAGAGAAAAAAAAAACAAATGCATAATTATCCATGGTAATTTATTATACCGGTATATCACAGATATCATAGGCAGAAATGTTCATTATCATTCAAGTAGAGAATCTAAGAAAGGTTAGAATTATAAAATGCCATAAATAACATATTTTAAAAAGACTGGATAGGGCAACATGAAAAAGGCTTTCAAACCAAATTATTTCACAAATGAGTAAATAATTGAACAACCCAGCCAAACAGATACAAGTACATGTAGATTGGATATGTCCCCAAGCACCAAATGACCAGTAACTGTACACCAATAATCAACAAAACTTAACAATTACTCTTTGAAACAAGAGACCCATGGGCCACATCGCTCACCTGAGCACATTGGCAAGGCAAAAGCACAAATCAGTTCAGTATTGAAAAGATTACTGGGGGGGGGGGGGGGGGGGGGGAGGGGGGGGGCTTGAATTTTAAACTACCTGATGATGCTTCCATGTCAATATATAATTTGTTTTAACAAATGGCTTTGTTGTACTTGAGAAGATTTTAAAAAAAAATCCCCATATATTCCTCTGTAAAAATTTGATCCCCCATTGTGGCTCCTCCCTATCCCAGGGGTCATCATTTGAACAAACTTGACTCTACACTACCTGAGGATGCTTCCATATCAATATGACTAAATATAGCTTTTCTGTTCTTGAGAAGAAATTTTTTTCTATATGTTCCTATGTAAAACTTTCCATCCCCTTATTGGGCCCCACCCTACCCTCGGGGGTCATCACTTGAACAAAATTGAATTTACACTACCTGAGGATGCTTCCATATCAAAATGACTAAACATGATTTTCAGTTCTTGAGAAGAAGATATTTTCCTTTATGTTCCTATGTAAAATTTTCGATCCCCAATTATGGCCCATCCCTATCCCCTGGGGTCATCATTTTAACAATCTTGAATCTACACTACCTGAGGATGCTTCCATATCAAAATGACTAATCATGGCTTTGCAGTTCTTCATCAGAACATATCTTCCTATATATTTCTATGTAAAACTTTGATCCTCCATTGTGGCCCCGCCCTACCCCCGGGGGGTCATGATTTGAACAAACTTGAATCTACACTACCTGAGGATGCTTCCATATGACTCATCATGGCTTTGCTGTTCTTGAGAAGAAGATTTTTAAAGGTTTTTCCTATATATTTCTATGTAAAACTTTGATCCTCCACTGTGGCCCCGCCCTACCCCCGGGGGTCATGATTTGAAGAAACTTGAATCTACACTACCTGAGGATGCTTTCATATAAATATGACCAATTAAGGCTTTGCTGTTATTGAGAAGAAGATTTTTAAAGATTTTTCCTATATATTTCTATGTAAAACTTTGATCCTCCATTGTGGCCCCGCCCTACCCCCGGGGGGTCATGATTTGAACAAACTTGAATCTACACTACCTGAGGATGCTTTCATATAAATATGACCAATTAGGGCTTTGCTGTTCTTGAGAAGAAGATTTTTAAAGATTTTTCCTATATATTTCTATGTAAAACTTTGATCCTCCATTGTGGCCCCACCCTACCCCCAGGGGTCATAATTTGGACAAACTTGAATCTACACTACCTGAGGATGCTTCCATATAAATATGACCAATTAAGGCTTTGCTGTTATTGAGAAGAAGATTTTTAAAGATTTTTCCTATATATTTCTATGTAAAACTTTGATCCTCCATTGTGGCCCCGCCCTACCCCCGGGGGTCTTGATTTGAACAAATTTGAATCTACACTACCTGAGGATGCTGCAATATAAATATGACTCATCATGGCTTTGCTGTTCTTGAGAAGAAGATTTTTAAAGGTTTTTCCTATATATTTCTATGTAAAAATTTGATCCTCCACTGTGGCCCCACCCTACCCCCGGGGGTCATGATTTGAACAAACTTGAATCTACACTACCTGATGATGCTTCCACATGAGTTTCATCTTCCCTGGCTTTGTGGTTCTTGAGAAGAAGATTTTTAAAAGATGCTACTAATTTTTCACTAATTCTTCATTATCTCCCCTTGAAAGAGGGCATGGCCCTTCATTTGAACAAACTTGAATCCCCTTCACATAAGGATACTTTGTGGCAAGTTTGGTTGAAATTGGCCCAGTGGTTCTTGAGAAGAAGTCGAAAATGTGAAAAGTTTACAGACGGACGGACGGACAGACAGACAGACAGACGGACAGACGGACTACAGACAAAATGTGATCAGAAAAGCTCACTTGAGCCTTCGGCTCAGGTGAGCTAAAAAATGTCTTGGAAATATAATAAAGCCTTTTTCTGGTTTATCTGATTTCTACACTGTACTCAAACAAGTGCATATACCTAGAAAGTACACAGGCAGCCCACTGAGAACTTTGAATTTAGCAAACAATTCAAAAATCAAGACTGCCGTAACATAAATTTGGAAAATTCAGCATCATCAATAATAAGAATCTATGAGACATGATGGTACTTTAAGGCTTATATATGCAGAACATTCCTTTTTGCCATCAAAAAAACTCCTTTGCATAAACTTTACATTAAGAGTGTGTGGTGATTAGTGATAAGTGCAGAAGATTCTGGAGGGGGTACTTTTATATTCCCTCTTTGGAATTGAGGTTCATGCTAATGTCTTGAGTATTCCAAAAGAAAAGTACAGTTTAACTAAAACTGGACTTTTAAAAGAACAAATGACATTATGCTTGAAAAGTGCAAATAATAATCTTTCTCAAGATCACACAGTTGCTTAAATTATGTAATTACAGTATGATTTGGCACAAAAGTTTTAAACGACAGTTTTATCTTAAATCAAGGAAATATGAATATAATTAAAAAAAATTTTTCTGATCATAAGAGTTATTGCAAAAAGCATACATTAAAAGTAAAATATGTACCTCAAGTACTGTGTTGCTGCATACTTTTGAAAAAATGATCATAATGCTATTTACTGGCCGAAACAAATGAGCAATCATGGAAATAAGTATGTAGTGTTCAAATCACTGTGAAAATTACAAGTTATCTCAACTTTCATGACGACAATTGACAGTGAACAAACTTTGTTCGAAGGCTTATATCATTGAAACCCATTACATCAGTGCCATTGACTGAGCATCACGTAACACTTTCTCTTCTAATGAAAAGTCATAACTAAGCCTAGGGATATCTCGCTCTTGTTGATGGACAAGATTACTATGTGATGCGGCATCATGCAGGTCAAAAATAACCTGCAATTGGGGTGAAATCTTGAAAGTGACCCCAGTGATTTCACTGTGGCTGGTCAAAGGGATAGTATTGTAATTCATTGCAGAGTTATTCTGGGCATTTTGGTGTCCATTCCAGTGCATATAATCCATGTATGTAGGCAACTCAGACTGTGTGTCCTTTATCTAAAAAAAAAAATTTATATAAATAAACATAGGTAATCAAAGATTACGAAGCTCACCTCGACGAATGTTATCTACATGTAAGGCAAATTTCAAATCATATTTTTTATCTAGTTAGGGTACATCCCAAGATCAATATCCATGCAAGTTTGATTTAATAATAGACCTGCTCAAAAAACTTTTGACCTGTTTAGTAATCAAGAAAATTTTGGTCAGTTCCAACATCCAAAGCAAGTCTGGAAGTTTTCATCCTTAGATGCACCATCTATGCAAGTTTAATCATAAAAGGCCATAATATTATATAGCTACTCAAAAAAAATTACCCTGGTCACTCATCTGGAAAATGTACGTCAGATTCAGAATCCAAAGCAAGTCTGGAAGTGTCCATCCCTAGATACAACATCCATGCTAATTTGGTTAAAATATGGCTAAAATTCACTCATGTGGAAAATCTAGGTCAGATCCAGCATTCGAAGCAGGTTGGTTAGTGTACATCCCTAGATGCATCATCCATGAAAGTTTTGTCGAGGTAGGGCTTATAGTTACTTGGGAATGGGACTACTCCTAAATCTATACCTGGTCTCACATGTGGAAAATGTAGGTCAGATCCAGCATTCGAAGCAAGTGTGGTAGTGTCCATCCCTAGATGCATCATCCATGCAAGTTTGATCAAGGTAGGGCTTATAGTTACTTAGGAATGGACCTGCTCCTAAAACTTTAATTTGGTCACTCATCTGGAAAATCTAGGTCTGATTCAGCATCCGAAGCAAGTGTGGTAGTGTCCATCCCTAGATGCATCATCCATGCAAGTTTGGTCCAGGTAGGGCTTATAGTTACTTGGGAATGGACCTGCTCCTAAAACTTTAACCTGGTCACTCATCTGGAAAATCTAGGTCAGATCCAGCATCCAAGCAAGTGTAGTAGTGTCCATCCCTACATGCATCATCCATGCAATTTTAATCCAGGTAGGGCTTATAGTTACTTAGGAATGGACCTGCTCCTAAAACTTTAACCTGGTCACTCATCTGGAAAATCTAGGTCAGATCCAGCATCCGAAGCATGTGTGGTAGTGTCCATCCCTAGATGCATCATCCATGCAAGTTTGGTCCAGGTAGGGCTTATAGTTACTTGGGAATGGACCTGCTCCTAAAACTTTAACCTGGTCACTCATCTGGAAAATCTAGGTCAGATCCAGCATCCGAAGCAAGTGTGGTAGTGTCCATCCCTAGATGCATCATCCATGCAATTTTAATCCAGGTAGGGCTTATAGTTACTTAGGAATGGACCTGCTCCTAAAACTTTAACTTGGTCACTCATCTGGAAAATCTAGGTCAGATCCAGCATCTGAAGCAAGTTCGGTAGTGTCCATCCCTAGATGCATCATCCATGCAAGTTTGGTCCAGGTAGGGCTTATAGTTACTTGGGAATGGACCTGCTCCTAAAACTTTAACCTGGTCACTCATCTGGAAAATCTAGGTCAGATCCAGCATCCAAGCAAGTGTAGTAGTGTCCATCCCTACATGCATCATCCATGCAAGTTTGGTCCAGGTAGGGCTTATAGTTACTTGGGAATGGACCTGCTCCTAAAACTTTAACCTGGTCACTCATCCGGAAAATCTAGGTCAGATCCAGCATCCGAAGCAAGTGTGGTAGTGTCCATCCCTAGATGCATCATCCATGCAATTTTAATCCAGGTAGGGCTTATAGTTACTTAGGAATGGACCTGCTCCTAAAACTTTAACCTGGTCACTCATCTGGAAAATCTAGGTCAGATCCAGCATCCGAAGCAAGTTTGGTAGTGTCCATCCCTAGATGCATCATCCATGCAAGTTTGGTCCAGGTAGGGCTTATAGTTACTTGGGAATGGGACTTGCTCCTAAAACTTTAACCTGGGACGCCGACGCTAACGCCGACGCCGACACCGACGCCGGGGGTATAGCATAAGCTCATCTCGACTTTGTCGAGGTGAGCTAATAAAAAGTACTGAAACAACAAAATTTAACATAACCTTAAATGACATCTCGGTGTTATTCTCTCTGTAATATGTACCTGTGTCTGATTATAATCTGGTGGGGAATCCCCTGTAAAATTGCTGGTATACACTGTTGTTCTTTCACTTTCAGTTTCTGCTACCAGTAAAAATCCGTCCTCTTCTCTCTCCGATTCCCCAGACTGTTGATTGGTCATTCCAGAACGAGACTGCTGACTCTGGAAAGGTCGAATCACAGCTTGGAAGACATCACTGGCAAAGTTCATACTTTAGTTTCTGTAATTATTTTTAAAACATGTGTAAAGTAAGCCTTGCTTATAAGGAACTTACTTAACAATGAAATCTTGCAAAAAATCAGTATGAGAACTAAACCAAGTCATTTGAGATTTACATAATTGCTATTTTTGTCATGTGTGGCCTAATGCATTTTTAAAAACAATTTTTTTTAAAATAATACATATAGTTTCATGCATTTATTATACATATTTATGTATACATATTTCTGGCCCACGTGTCAATTGATTGTAAATCAATTATTAAAGGAATAAAATAAAATGCAAAATAGTTTTCTAATATTATGACAAAATTTTGTGGAGAGCTACCCTGCTTGACATAGTGTTTGACACATTAGTTCATTACAGTCAAGTATTGAGAAAAATCACTCTCAATCCCATGTTTCCAAATGCAGTCTCCATTCTACAATGGTATACATAGAGACTAGCCACAGGTGCAATACATCTGATGATTATTTTTCACATTTGCTAACATAGTACATTCCGTAGTACATAGCTTTACAATTTGATTGTTGTCCATCAACATAGGAATATTTTTTGTTTGTTTGTTTATTGTTTAACGTCCCTCTCGAGAATTTTTCACTCATATGGAGACGCCACCACTTGCAGGTGGAGAGCTACAAATTTTGACCTATACTTGGCACTCAGGGCCATTGAGCAGTGAGGGATCTTTTTCCTGCAAGCACCTACTGCGACATGGGACCTCGGTTTATACGGTCTCATCCGAAGGAACGGTCTCCACATCCCACTGTGGGATTCGAACCCGCGACGTAAGGATCAACTCCTTACTCCATGACTCTAGAGCAAACGTTCTAACCACTGCACCATGCAGGCGACTCAACATAGGAATAATAATGTATAATCTTTTATAAGACTAGTCTCAGAGTGTACAATTGTAAACTGAAAATGATCAACACCTGTAACTTTACTTTCTTTTATCTTAATCAAAGGGTACTTGTTTTAGCTGCAGAACATTGAGACATAAATGTGCCAGAGAGCTACAGAACCAATCAGTGAAAATACTCTCAACTTATGGCAACCTTTCTTTGTCATAATCTTTGGATATTATGTAACAGAGACATGCAAGTGCCTCCGAAACAAAATGGATTTGAAGTTGGCACCTCTGGCATGCCAATCCAGTGCTCTATTGATCAAGCTAAGGGATTAACCCACTCGCCCAAGCAAGTAGGATGCCTTGTATCTTACACTATCACATTGTCCTCTCCAGAGATAGAGATGTCCTCATATCTTTTTTGGAGTGCCAACACCTGCAGGGTGAAGTTCTGGAGGCAATCGCTTTCCCCCACCAGAGAATACCAGGTCCTATTGTGGGTCCCAAATGTAACATAGACATGTGCCTACGAATGGATTTGAATCCAAGACTTCTGGCATGCCAGCCCAGTGCTCTACAGATCAAGCTCAAGGATTAACCCACTAGCCCAAGCTAGTAGGATATCATGTATCTTCCACTACCACAATTATTTCTCCTGTTACATGTAAATGCATTTCCCCATCTAAAGCATGGTATCTGTTAATTTAACATATATTTCATCCCCATAGGGGCTTGGTTTCAGGATGATTAATTTATGTATTGTGTTTTTCTATGTTTGTCTAGATATACTGAGGCATCCCGGAATTGCAAGGAAAGTCTAGAGGGAACAAGTTTGGTGCAGTTTCTGACCTCTCTAGACTTTCTGTACATTTCTGGAATGCCTCTACACTTTACACAGTTAGAAATCATCAGTCAGATTGCTTTCAATTTTATTATGTGCTAGGTATCGAGGACATTTGGTTTACTGCATGTTTTATATGGCAAGTGCAAATCGGCAAAAATAGAACAGGGTTATTCAATCATTTTTGAAGCTAGATCTCACCTGACACTGCTAAGAAAAGTGTAGATATTAAAATCAAGTGGAATCCAAGATGGCAAGTGTCAACCCTCATCTCTTTTTTATAAATGTATGTTGAAATACAATTTTTTTTAAACTGCAAATTTCAGCGATTTTTGATTTTTATCATATTAAGGGCACACACAACGTAGTTTGAACTTTATTGTCTTTTTCTCTGGAGTTGAAGAGTTCCAATACTTGAAGGAACTGTGAGCTACATTTTAATGTCTATATATGCTGTTGTACACTTCTTCTAAACAAGTTTGGATAAACAAAACATCTAGAATATATGTTTAGTAATTTTTGTATATTTTTCTTTGAATTATACAATAATTTTCATCAATTCATATCTTTTCAAAACTCATGGTAATACATGTTGATTTTTTGCCTATGAACATCTGATGGCACTATAATCTTAAACTAAGAATATCTTGAAAAATTATCAGTAGGTAAGGTACGTTGCGTATGTCCTTAAATCAGTATATTTAGACAGACATAGGAAAATACACAATACACAAAATATACCATCCTGAAACCGAGCTCCTGTGCATAGATGTAGGTACTAGGTAATGTCTGAACACTTCTCTAAATAGAAAAGTTTTGGTTAACCTCTCTTTTATATTGTCTGTGTAATTTATTTCCCAAAGACCTAACGCTTACACAGGGCTCGACATTAACGCTTGTCCGCTTGTCCGGTACCAGTGAAAAAAAATTACAGACAAGTGAATATTGCCGGGCACTTGTCCGATTGGACAAGTGCATTTTAATGTAAAGAAGTCTTCAAATAATAAAATGAACGACTGTTCATCTGTTGAAAGTTCATCGGTAAGGACAGAAGCAGTACATAAAAAACGAACTTAGATCCCGATATGGATTGCTATGTAATCGAGTTCACACTCGATCGGGATCGAAGTTCACTAATTGCATACTACTGCAAAGGCATTAAAGTTACGTCGAGTTACGAAGTTTAGATTCTGTTTGATGTTGACAGTTTCATTTGTGAACATTTATGTTGTTGATAGGATAGAAAGTCTAGATGAAATTTTGTTTTTATGTATTTATCAATAACATCACGAATCAAGCACATGTAATGGACTTTATTTTAGTTTTCAAGTTGACAGTTTTGTATCTTTATTGAACAATTTTCGGACAAGTGAAGTTGAAGTTCGGACAAGTAAATGTCTTGGTAACTTGTCCGAATGGACAAGTAGGAAAAAAAGTTAATGTCGAGCCCTGTTACAATTCTGTATCTAGAAAGTGATTTTGCTTGACATTCTTTGCCTCTGACCTAAGTTGGTCGATTATTCAACTTCAACCCCACTTGATATAACTTTGGTTTAGCTGAGGCGATTGTTCCAGGGCTAGACAAATAGCATTGCCCAACGCCCGGGACAACCAATTTTGTTTGGCGGGCATGTTATTTGATAACTGGTTTCGGCCCGCGGACAAGTGTTTTTCCAGTTAACAAAAACCATATACTCAAATGTTGTTTTGTTTTACCGTTGTTAAAATATAATGAATCACAGCAGAGTATCTGTTTTCGATGCAGTTGACCACTACATCGAACACTCAGTCGGAACTTCTCTAGAATTGCCCATTCATGTCTTGATAATATATATACATGAGAAGTAGAACACGGCAAGTATCGATGTCATGTCAAAAAAGTTGAAGAGGATTTTGGACCTTTCTTTTGTCAAAATGTAAAAATCATGCTGTGAATACACGATACAAACACACGTTGCTGTTATTAAATTGGAGGTGTTGACTGGCGAACACACACAATCATGAAGTTGAACCCTTAATCGACATTCAGGAGTTTTTTTTCATAACACAATAATGTAGATACAAGTGTGAAGTGTATTATTTTCATGTAAAAAATACAGTGAAACGTATAAGTACATGTTTATTTGTACACATTGACATGTACATGTATTTAAAATTTTAAGTTTAATAATCAATGCACAGTGCAGACGCTAGGAAGTCTCCCTAGAATTATAAATTTTCCCCTTAATTTCTCTATGGGAGAGTTAGTGATTTTGGTTCAAGGTTGGTCCTAAATATTAATGATAATGTTTTAGTTTTGTGTTATTTAAGAAAAAGGTGGGACAAGCATATTTTTTTGCAGGACGAGTAATTTTACGATGGTAACCTGTCCGAGGGCAAGTACTGATAATTTCTATTTGTCTACCCCTGTGTTCAACATTTGCTTACCTCACTGAGTCAGTCACATAGATCTAGCTCTCTGAATGTCGAGTTCCAGCTTAAATCTTGGAAATCGCTCACTTTTTTCCATTATGGACAGTGTATCAATAAAATAAATACATAAAAAAGAGATAATTAAAAGATTATTTACCTAACAATTCATATCAACACGTTACTTTCCTGGAAAATGACGTTATGGCATAAAATATTGCAATATTTGGCATTTGATGACGAATGGTTGCCATACAAATCGAAAGTACACTATATAATACAAAACCAAGTCCGGATTCAACCCGGTTGTCGATTTTGATTTTTTTTTAAAATCGTTATCTTACATAACTATTTCAATTTAAATAATTCATTCCCAGCCGCTATACATATAAAATGTAAAAATAATAGCGATGCAATTTTTATTTTTTTTAAACCAGGGACTTATATACTATTATATAGGTCCCTGTTTAAATTAGATGTAGGCTGATTTTGCCAATAAACTGACCATTCGATCGCTATGGGCGGCGGAAAGGGATTTTTCCAAAAAAAAAAAAAGAATTAATACAAAACTAACAAATAATTTTGCACAAAAAAGACTGAAATACAAATAAACAGCTAAAAATAAAATCAACAGACTCAACTACAAAATCAACAGACTCCGTCGCAAAACGAACGATCACCAATGCAAAACCAACAGTCGTTAACTGAATTTACGCTAGATGGCGTGCAAAAAAAGTACAGTCATAAGCGAAATTAACGTTAGATAGCGCGAGAGTCTGTATTACCGCGGGTATGATTTTTTAGTAAAACGTTAATTCTGCGATATTTTTTGGATTTTTCTTATGGAATACATTGTAAATGTGTACTAGAAGAATAATTTATGAAAAAAGTACATAAAATATTTTTTGACCTGTGGGGCATATTGGAGGGGGGGGGGTCCTGTCCACAAGTACCTGTGATTTTAATCAGTCATTTCATCCATGCACCCGTAGGTACTAAACAAAGAAAACAAACTCGAAAAAAAAAAACTTTGTTTGCTCGATCGGGGGGGGGGGGGGGGGGATCCAGCAATCAACAAAACAATGACTTGAATTGTAAAAAATGTTTTCTGCAAAATGCAAGATGATCCCTATTGATATCAAGGTCCGATAGTGATAAAAACTTAGTATTCTCGGGGAACCTATTTTGGTGGTAATAAGCATTCAATTACAAAATTTTGCTAACAAGTACAATTGAATAGGAAATTAATGCAGTTTTACTTTAAAGGTTCATATAATTTATTTAAATATTAAGAAAATTTTGGTCAAATAATATCCAATAGATATTTTTTCTCAAAATATATATATTTTAGATATTACGGAAATGAACCCACTATAGATTTACAGAATGTTTTTAACAGTTATATATGTTTATATTGAAAGTGATGAATAAATGTTCATCATATCTGAAAATTCTTTTTGAAGTAAAGTTGCCATGGGTCCATTGGTTACCCTCTTCAGACAGCCAAACTGGGCTCACATGACAATGCCAACTTTGGGCAAAAATCATGATTACAGTTAAAACAATTCTCATTTTAACCTTTTCCAGCCGATTTAAAATATATTTTAGATGTATTTATTGTAAATTTATTTACTATCTAAATGCATCCAGCCTTTAAAAATATACACATAGATTATATAACAGACATGAACTTTTTGGAGTCCCCTAAAATTTTACATTTCTTTGATTATCAAATGACAGTTGCTTAACTTTTCCATACAGATGTTAAACTTTTGTTAAGATTTTGTTTTTGATTGCATACTCTCAACAAATTCAAATTTAATTGGTAATTTCAATCTTAATTCTTTTACCTTTCATAAATTGAGTATGTTTCAAAGTTAATCAAACACTACCCTATCTAAATGTTTCTTTTTTCTTAGGGATATTTTTACTTTTATATTACATACTTTTAGCTACTATTTTACCTAACATTATTCATATAATGATAAAGTCAGATCTCCCAATATAACAAAAATCAACAGCTCAAAAGGAGATGCCACTGATTTAGGTACCCCACTGATTTAGGACCCTCCATGATATATGTATTGTGGTTGCCCCTGATTAGTAGATATCATAACTCATTTTTTCACTGTCATTACAGGCATTTTAAAGTTGATGCTTTTCATTATTGCAACATGAGGGCATGTGTTTCGAAAATATTTCTTGTTTAATTCCTATATATTCTCAAGTAAAACTATGGTCCCATAGCTGTAATTTGAACAAATTTGATACTACATGTATGTCAGAAAGCTTTCTCCTAAATTTCATACTTTCTGGCCAAGTCATTCCTGAGAGGATTTTTAAATGACTCCACAATAGTTTTGCATTTTCTTGATTATCTCCCCTGGAAATGACATGGCCCTTTATTTGAACAAATTTGAATCCCCCTTCTTAAGATGAGCATTTTTTTCTTTTGTCAAATTTAAATCCCCTTCACAAAAAGGCATATTCTGCCTAATTTGATTGAAATTTGCCAAGTGTTTCTGGAGAAGAAGATGAAAATGTGAAAAGTTTACAACACTGAAAAAAAAAATGGCAGACAAAAGATAAGCCTCATCAGAAAGGCTCACTTTATCCATGGCTTAAGTGAGCTAAATGCAAAAGAAATTCTCAAAAGTCAATACTTTCAGACTTATGTATTGCAAGAAATTTTATCAATTAAGGTCAAAATGTGATAACATATATAAACTTATGAAAAATAGGTCAAAATAAATATGATAACATATACAATGTATAAAAAAAACCAATATGAAAATAAACAATCAGCATGCATTGCATAACAAAAATTCATTTTCTGTACATTAAACATTAAATTTCATAAATCATTATATACATTAATACAAATCACAAAAGGAATAGATTTGATCTGGGTGAATATTTTTTGAACACATTTTATACAGTAAATATTTTCAGATATTAAAGAAACTGTCCAACATGTATTTGGATACATGTATTTCAATACTAGTGGTGACATACAAGAAATAATGAATCTTGAATCTTGTTAACTTTGAGTACCGATTTAAGTAAATTCTACTTTGACAATTTTCTTTTTCTCCTCTGTTCTTTAAATTCTTCAAACTTTTGGAGTTTTTGTTTTCTTTGCCGATAAGCTCTGTCTTCTTTACAAACTTCCTCTTCTGTTTCACTTTCTGATGAAGAATCTGTTTCACTTTCACAACCAGAACTACTTTCATTTTCACTAGATTTATCTGAGATTATAATACCTGTTTGTTTATCATCCACTGAGGCACAACATAAATAAAGCTCTTCATCGCTTTCAGTTATGATAATTTCTGTACCCGAGTCAGTCTGCACATTATTTGCGACGGAACTTTCTCTGTCCTCTAAGTGTGTTACACAATGGAGAGCCTCACTGTTGTTTGAATTTTCCGCTGAGCTTTGATCATTAACCCTTTCTTCCACTGCAGTGATTTCAGAATTCTCTTCCAACTCTGTATCTGAATCACTGGATTCTATAACATTAGATTTATACTTGCTTTTCTTCAGTTTTACACCACTTACTGGTGAATTTGACCTGGATGTATTATCTGCCTTTGCCGTGTTTTTTACTGGTTTGTCCTCCGTATCAGTTTCGCTATCAAGAGGCTGGCAAGATCCACTCTCCTCTGATTCAGAATCACTGGCCTTTGGTACCAGTCTTCTTCTGTAACCTTTAATTCGACTGGGGTGAGGTTTTTCCTTTTTAAATAGAAGAAAGGATAATTATGTGTACCTGTAGGTATAGCAAGTTTACATATTTCTTATATACATGTAGCCTTAAATGTTGATATCTAATGAATATGTAAAAGTCAGGTGAAAGTCCCTACCACTTTCTTCATGTAATTTAACCTCATATTTTCAAATCCTTGCATAACTCTCAGTTTTTTCTCATTTCCATAAGGTTTAAGATTAAAAGGTTTAACTGTACTTTGTTAAACTTGTAAACATGAGCAACATGGCCTTCATTGTTTGTATGCAATAACCATCATGACCTCTTCTTTTCAAAAGAAGAAAAAGAGGACATGATGGTTATTTTTGTGAGTTAAGATTTTGAAATTTACTACACTTTCTTCAAGTCCAGATCCATGGACATTTATAGGATTCTGGTTGCATCTCAGGGAATTCAATAGCAAAATTAACCCCACAAGCACATGTACCTGTGCCCACAAGTTTTCAAAACCATACAGTAAAATATGGATAAAGAAAAACTCAGGACTGTGAAATGCTATATTTCTGAGTTATTATATTTGCTAATACATATCCTACTTTTTGGTGACTAAATTTGACTTTGTTAAATGTAGAAATTTACCATACATGTGTGTTTCAAATACTCATTTTCTGAAAAAAAAAAAGAGGGATGTCTGAATTTTAAATACAGTGTAGCACTCTTACATCTTCTGAATCTTCATCACTCTCTTCTTCATCATTGATGAAGTCGTCAATATCATCACTGTCATAATTATCATCTTCAAATGTCTCATAACGATCAGCATTATATCTGTTTGTCCTAAAAGCAAATATGTACAAGGTTTAAATTTGCTCTATATTTCATCACTGGAAAATTATATACATGTACATCTTTTCAGAAATATATTTGCAACTAAGCAAGAAGAATTTTTTTTTCAATGACAAAATTACATTTATATCCATTCATGTGTATCTACAATATTAGCATATTAAGTTGTATATATATGCATTTTGAATTTAGTCTGTAAATCTTATCATAACACATAATCTTGTACTGTAGCAAATATATGTATCTTAAATTTAGAAAAATTATATTGTTATTCAGTCTGAATGAGATAAAATTTTCTCACACTCTTGTGAAGTCATTGACACATTTTGATGGTGTTCTGGCTTTGACCTTCTCTGATGATGGAATGTCCCTAAACACATCTTCCTTCTTTGGCATAACAAACTGCTTCTTGTTTCTCAGTCTCTCTGAGCTTCTTGTGTGCTGTAATTAGAAGAGCATAGTTTGAATATGTACACTAGTTAATCTGGCATTAAGATCACATAAGTGTCTTTAGTTCATTTTAACAGCTGAATTTTAAAAAAATGAACTGACTGGGCCAAAATAAAAAATACCTTTGTTTCCCCTAACACGACCGACTCAATTAAATCGTGCTGACTGAAAAGATTTTTTAAATAAGATTTTAAGATTTTTTTTTAATGTCTTTCAACTTTTATAAAATACAATTTCATCAAAATCTGTTCTTATCAGAACTGCTGATTTTGTTCTACTGCGATTTTCAACAGTTTGTTGAAACAAATTGGCGCCCACCACATGTGGTCACAGGGGTACGTTCGTGATATAAAACAACGGCAACGTATCAACCTTATGACTTTATTATAGTCCTACACTCTTGAAATATTTCGTTAATTTAATATACCATGACTTATTAAGAGTGTTTTGGCGGAATTTACAAACCTGTCTTTTAAGGTAGGTACTTAGGAAGCATATTACGGCCCACCTTCAGAACACATCAATGAATTTCGCTGCATTTTATTTAATTTCAGTTTTGATCTAATAAAAGTTCCTCTGTTTACTATGGGAACATAGGAATTGTTGTAAATATGTCTGCCTATTTCATCCTAATGAATCTAATTCAGACGTCCTTTCTTCATGACTTTTATTCATGGGTTAAACTTGGTGACTTTGATATTGTCTATGAAATTTTTAGATATGGTTTGGTTCAATTAGATATTGCTTACATACTCTCTCCAAATAGTTTCAAAATCATGACACAGCTTCCTGAGACGTCCAGTGTATTTTTCTATAATTAGGCCCTTGAAGATTGTTTCTTTCTTTGCTTTAAATCCCTTTCAAAAATGTTCAGACATCTGATCATTTGCCCATTGAAGGGCTCCAAATTTAGATGTTTACAGCACTTTTTGCTGATTGAGCAGTGAGGGATCTTTTTCGTGCTAGCAGCTACTGCGACACTGAACCTAAGATTTTATGGCCTCATTCGAAGGACCGGTCTCAATGTCTTGCACTGGGATTTGAACCTGCGACTTATAATTAGCTCCTTACTTCAGGAATGTAAGCCGAAGTAGGTTTGAAAAATAAACTCAGATTCCGGTCTTTGCGTATCTGAAAATCTTGTCTTTTTAAATATTCAATGTCAATAAATTTATACTGGTGGGTTCAACTGAATAATAGTTGTGAATTAATTTACCTTAAATTTTGCTTTGAAACGGCATTTGTATGATACTCCCCTGCACATGTCAAAATATAAAAGCAGGGGTTAGAGTCAGAGGAATCTCGGATTAAGTACACATATGAATAGTCAAATACTTGCAACTTTTTGTCTATTTCTTACGAAATATATTTTTCTGAAAAACTGCAAATAAATAGCTTTATCAAGCTTTTTTGAATAGCTTAATAAAGCTATATAGCTATTTCAAGCTGTATAGCTAAATCAATAGATTGTGCTGGACCTGAATAACATACTGAAAGATCGCATACCGAAGAACGCGGAGCGCACGAAATCTTCGGAGTCTGTGGTTCCATAGAATCTTCCTCATCACTACTTATAGCATTAGTAGTACTTCTGGTGCTAATTTTTCTTTTCTTCTTTATTGAACTGAAAAATTCTTCCTCAGACTCCGAGCAAGACATCTCAAAATGCAAGCGGAAAACGGGCGACTCTTACTAATTTTAAAACCAATACAGTAAATATGGTAATACCGGAAATATTTCTGGATATAATAAACATTCAGAAAAATAAAATATCAACAAAAATGCAGCTCATATTTGAAAATAAAATCAAAATATTATTTTTCGAACTTTGATTTGTCATCTGATGAAAACAAACTGTGTAACGTGGGGCGACAGCAGAAAGGGATGGGTCCATTTCGCGCCCAAACTGGCCAAAGTCATTTTCAGATTAGGTCATCTTTAAAAAATTGTTTGGTTGCCCTCTCCCGACCGACTGGCTAAAAATAGCCCGACTCAAAATTTTTTTTTAACCTCCAGGAAGCAATTACTTTTTTTTTTTTTAATGTTTTCTGGACAATGGATTTTAAAAATTTAGCACTGAAATTGAAATTTTTTGAGAAAAAATTTTTTCTTACCTACCTACCGACCCAATTTTTTCATCCTGAGTCGGGAGAGGGCAAACGAAAATTATTTCAAAGGTGGCCTTACTATACAAATTTATTGACACTGAAAAACCCGAAGAGGGTGGGGGACCCCAAACACCTAACTGAAAACATTCTAATATATTTGCGACTTAAATATTGAAAATTGAAATATAAATTGAAATATAATTAATTCTCCTGATTGTCTCATAATCATATCCTCATTAAATATATTACATGTACATGTAATCAAAAACATAGCAACATGACAATAAAGAATAAAGACTGGCTTGATAGACTTTTACATAAATCTATTCCACAGTAGGATCAAACTTTTTCTTTATTATAATGAAACCATGGCCTATAGATTATAATTATCCCCCTTAGCGGAACTGAATAATGCAACACTCTGCGATATTTTTGATTGATGTCCCCACCCTCCCCCCTCCAAAAAAAAGAAAAGGGCTACATTATAGCAGCTATATTCCTATAGGTAAACATTAATACAAACTTTCACAAAATATGCCTTTTAAACTTTTTACTTCCGTCTGGTGAGGTCAAAAAGAATTATACTGAATATTATATTAGTCATTAAACCTCTTTTTTCATCCCTGGCTACGATCTGATAGGGGGAAAAGGGGTGAGCAGAAAGCGCAAATAATCGGGGAATCTGAAGGAAATATCAGAAGGGAGCCATTCAGTGTCTTCTGCCTGTTCTTCTGCATGTTGAATGCCGTGTCTTCACAGACTGACTTCTCCAGAACCAGTTGAATTTCAGACTGTATAGTAATTTCATATATACATATATATATATGGGTAGAAATCTATCTTTAAAAAATGTTTGTTTCAGGTAATTTGTAGAATAGATGGTATGGATTATATCACAAGATTATTTATGAGAATTAAGTCGAAACGGCCCCGGGATCTATATCGGCGAAGGGGGGTCCAGTCCTCAAGCACTTGTCATCAGAGGCTATAATTTAGGCCACTTTTGGACAAAAAAAGGAAATATACATGTACATGTATAGAGAGTCTTTCCTTCTGCCGTTTTACTTATACGCGGTTTAAACAGCAATTCTTCTTTAGATGGGACACTTTAGGAGAGCATTTAATGACAAAAACATAAACACAAAAGAACAGAAAAATATATAATTTATTGAGAAACATTGAAACATCTTCCACTTCTCGAAATGATGACTATAATAAGTGAATTGTCCAAAACATATATTATTTTCTTTTGATCAATGTAAATTTTTTTCATATACATGTATTTTCGAATGATAAACTACATATTAAAATTCTCGCACAATTTAGCGACGGTTAAACAAGTGGCACAGCCTGGCAAGCAATCCACGTTTCTCTTTCTTCTCTTTCCTCTGTTTGAAATAAATTATATATAGTCAAACGTTTGCAGGAATTGGATTTATATACATGATATCATTGTGTGGAAACCAGAACACACAACAGGAAATGCTTTGAAATGATAAGAAGATGGAGGTTTACCTGTTGTTTCTTTGCTTTGACACAACAAAAGAATCTTCTCCAGCTTTTCTGTATTGCCACAGGATCCTCCTCCTGGAAGTGACAAAAATATTTATATTACTTCAGATGTTCGTTTTTCTCTTATTTTTATGCATCACTCATCTTTAAAAGTGATATTTGATTTTTAGAATTGTGTTAAAAAACGTACCAATTCATCGGTTACTAGTACATCTGTTTCAGACAAAGTCTTTAGGCTACAAACAAGAGATGGAGGAAATCAAACGATGGACTCAATTTTGCGTTGGCTTTATTTTTTCATTACTGAAGATATATATTGTCATTTTACGTACTTGTAAGCGCTAAACAAACCTTGCGTTTTTTGCTGCACTGGTGAACAAATCGTCAACGACCTCCGAGGCTGTGTTGTACATAATCTAAGGAACGACAAATTTTGATATATATATATTTTTTAAATAAAGTAATATAAAATAACCATGTTTAATGTGTATCAAATTGGAGTTACAACACACGATATGAAGTGAACATATATTATTATTCCATTTAATGAATACCTTTTGCATTGCTAATTTCTCAGCTTTCCTCTTTTCTGAGAGTGTTCTCAGTATGGTGTCACATTCTTCAGATTGTACCAGGGTAGATGTAGCCAACTCTTCTTTTACTGGTCTGTAAACAGGAAAGAATTCAGTGAATAGTTTGGCGAAATTTATGCTTCTTTTTCTTCACAGCTGTTATAGTTCAATTGAAATTTATCTATAGAAACAAAATGTTTTTCTTCCAACTTGCATCAATATTATATGGCATAATTAATTTGTTGTTATCATTCAGCTAAGGTTAATTTTACTCATTTGAGAGCCTTTATATTCTTTGAGTCCTTTTAAAAAAAAACACTTGAACCCAACCGTTATCATAGTGATATTGATTTACGATAAATATTTCAAACAATTAATGAAAATAAAATCCATGTTGTTATAAGAGACAAAGTCCTGATTTACGTTGTGTACATACCCAGGAATATCACAGTTAGGTGTAGCCTGGATTATTAGGTCATTCACATTTTCCTGTGCTGCTTTGTACAATAACTGGCAAAGAAAAATGTTTATGTGAAATCTCTACCGTCGATGAGGAAAAATTTAATCTCTACTTTCGTCTTTCAGTTGCACAATATCTTCATAAATATCCATCATGAATATTATATTGCATTAAGTTTCGTTGAAGAGTAAAATTAAATAAATATTAAGTTGAGTTATATCTAATAAATCATTAGGGTATCACATGAAAGTATAAATATGTCAGAATAAATAATTTTTATACCTTTTGAGTTATTTTTCTTTGGTTTTCATAAGACTCCCGTTTCATCAAGATTCTTTCTTCGGCAAACCTTGCACGAGTGGCTGGAAAGGTGAGGAAGTACTGTACAATTTCGGAAGCCGCCATGTACATCATCTAATGAAATTTTAAACAAAATCATTATTAGTGAACTTATATTCAGACTGTATACTAGTAGTATACAAAATACAATATGAAATATATAAGTATTCGAAATAAATATTTCTTTGTTTAATAGATACCTTTTGCATTTTCAGTTTCTCTGTGTTCATCCATTGTTGGTATGCTCTCTGTCGTCTGTCATAATTTGCAGATAGTAGTGGAGCAGTTGTATCTAATTGTCCCTTGTCTGGGCTAAAAAAGAAAAAAAAAAAAGAATATTTGTTTTCATATACACTGCATTTAACACATCATAACAATATATGATCTATTAGCCTATCTCTCTTCTAAACCTTTATGTTCCTGAAATATACGAATGGTATAAGGTTGTCATACAGCCGTTCACATTTTTTTATCAACTCTGCATATTTTTAATTTAATTTCATCTTTAACGGCAAAATGAAAATCCCTTAATCTAAAGAATGTAACTTTTCTAAATCATATAATCAGCTCAAATGCATCGCATAAATCTAATATTTTTTGTTATCATTATTACTATTTATTAATTTTTTTTTGCGAATTTTGTCTTCTAATGTTGTGCGACTGTGATGAAAACACGATGATAACAGATTTTTTTTTTCCATAGAAAGGATGCTTTCCAGATTGTATTTACCTAGGAATATCATGACGACGTGTAGTTGCTCGTGTGATCAAGTCCCTTACATTTTCCCGTGCTGCTTTATATAATAACTGTCGATAAAAAGAATTAAAATTTATTAATTTGGTCTCCAGATATCAAGGCGTAAATTACACTGTATGTTAATTCTAATTACTTCACATCAAACTTTATATCATGTAATAAATTTATCATGTGAATCTTTGACGATATTCGACATGTATGTACAAGTACCTTTTTTTATATTCCGGGAAAATACATGAACGTTCTTCTTCATTAAAACATCATAATACTATATACGTATTTATTTACATACCTCCTGTATTGTTCTTCTCTGTTCTGCGTAAATATTCCTTGTTGCTACGATTCTCTCGTCGGAAGCTCCTGGCAGGCCGGGAGTCATTGTATTTGTCTGTTCTTTGACAGCGCTGAAATTGAGAAACAACCAACTTTACACCCCCGATACTATTCAATAATTCAATAATTATGTTTAATTATTTGTAAAAATGATTTGAGAGTAAATTGAAAATGAAAATGTTTTTTTTTATTAGATCTTCATTATTTAACAAACCTGTACTTAGTAGCAGAACAATATCTAGAAACGTGATCAAATACTTCATCAAGGATGCTGCGTACTACCTAGAACGATATCAAATGTAGAATGTAGGATTTAAACCATTTGGCATCAGACAGTAGATGTGTCTTTTTCTGGTGATATTAATGAAAATATTTGACTTATTGTATTGTATAAATTCTTACCATTTCTGACTCACTGGTTTGAGTTTCCCACTTAAGACTTTTTTCTGCATTTTTCGAACTGCTCTCTATTTTTGATGGTCTGCTAATCTTGGAAGCCTTCGGGGTGCTTCTTGGTTTTTCCACAGTTTGTGCTTTAGTTGCATCGTCTGTTGTTACATTACCTCCCTTCTTGCCTTTGCTACGTCTTCTTCTGCCTCTCGAGGACCCCCTTTTCTGCTATAAAAGTTTGAAGTTTGTTTCTTTATAATTTATTTTTTATTTCAGTACCTGATTCAACTCTCTCATGCTCACTAAGTTTTTTTTTACAGCGACGGATACGATTTAAAACCTGCTCTTAATTGTGTTATTTAATATAAGTTGTCTTAATGTATACGCACCTTATTGTCAAGGTCTCTCAGAGACAACGTGCCATTCTTGAGGCATTCCCTCAGTTTTTCAGGGTTCTACAATACAAACACAAATTAACTCTGTTAAGTTAGATTCGCTTAAAATATGTACATACATGTATATTGTACCTATGCATTACATTTTTTTGGTACTTTCTTTTAATCGAACTTCCTCTCTTATGTTCTAAATATACTAGTATATATAGATTAGAATTAAACACATTTGTATGACATTATATTGTTGCATATACAGTTCGAGTTTGATGAGAATGTTTTACATTTTTTCATACAACCTACCGACGAACTTGCCATTGAATAAAAGAAGGAAAAATGTTGCTAAACAATTTTTCTTAAGCGATCAGCTGCTTGAACCGTGCATTATGACGACCTTGATATTGTGACGTCATTCGATTAAAAACGAAGTATTATGTTATGTTTCAATATTTTGTTCAAGATGTTTAAAAATATGCTGAAATATAATACTAGTATCAGAAAGAAAAGGTTATGCCCATCCCTGCAATACAACTAGGGATTATAACCAGGACTCATAATTACGAAGTATTTGATGGCTGCACACCATGTTTTTCAATGTTTGTCTAGATACCCTCCTGTGTACAGATAAAAAAAATCAATTTCTTCTAGTTGAGCTATATTGAGATGCAAGTGCATAAATGGCAAGCACGTCTGAATAATAAATATCTATATATTTAATTAAGATTAAACTATTTCCTACCTCTTGTTCTTTCAATTCCATCATCAAAAATATTAAGCCTGGATGTTTGCTTTGCACAAAACACTGTTTCCAACTGAAGTATTAGTTATAACGCTATTAGCTTTGTGACGTCTCTAGGACTGTGATGTCATCGGCGTTTTTTACGAAGAGAGAGAGAGAGAGAGGAAGAGCAGAGAGAGAAAAGGGAGTATTGCTATCAGCGTACAATGTATTTGCTCAATTCGATCCATGAGGTACAATGTCTGGACTTACTATTCGTTTCACAAAGGTAATTTATTTCTTAGTTAAAGGACTAATAAAAAGTTAGCGAAGAAGATAGATTCCTCGGACAGGGTTACTGCAACGAATAAACTCAGACACTTGTTGGTAAGCTGGATGACCTTAATTTTAATTTAAAGTCTACGGCAAATGTTCCTTTTCTTACTTTGTGTCATATTAATTTTATTTAGGTACTTAGGTAATTAAAAAGTCCGAAAATACGTGTTTTGACTGGATGCCTGTCCGGAAGTTGTTCTCTTCCTTCAATCATTACACGATTTAAACCAAAATCAAAGGGGCGAGTTTTCAATAAAGTATTGAAGCAAAAAACTAAAATAGCAGTTTATTTATCAGATATTTGTTAGTTGTTTATAATCAGTGTCGCTTACATTTATTAAGTGATAAAATGAAAAATGGAAGGGGAAAGTATTAGTATACTATAAATGGATGATTCAAAATTATTACAAAATTAGCCATATCTTCATAGTAGACAACCACATTATTTTTCTCTAAGGAATATATTTACATCTTTTCCATTTAAAAAGGTATAAAAATATAGTACTTCACAGACCTTTTTCTTTCTTCAAATGATAAAACACATATCGAATAATCGTCCTCAATCTTAAAAAAAACGTCATTGAAACACTTTTCTTCAGAAAATACAGATGTACCTACATGTAAGTTACTGCATTTGATTGCTTTGATAAACAATAGAAGTCTTCGTTTTGAAGAAAAAAAACGTATTATAATATTCGAAAATTCTGGAATTACTGCTATAGTGTATATATAAATACAAGATTTTGTAATGTAATTGTGTTTTATAACAAAACCTTTTTAGATATGCAATGAAATACACACAGCGCTGCTACAAATGCACCATCACTAAACAAGATCTATATAATTATTCTGTTATTTCTTAAAAAAATAAATCCATTGGGAAAATAATACGACTAATAATGACGTCATTCGAATAGGGACTCAATTTTCACTGCAATAATTAAAAATATATATAGGAAAATTGTAGATATTATTCTCTAATACGTATTTTATATTTTCGTTGAATATTTTTCATTAGTCTTTCGTAACCAAGACGTACCGTATAGCCAACTGTGAAACACAAACCACCTACTGTAGCTCTTTAATATCTGTAACAATCGTTCAACTTAATGTTTGAGGAAAACGTGCTAGCCTGGATGATAGTTTAAATCACTGACTACCAGTTTGGTTTTGTTACGTGATAAAATGTGGTGCCACACGGGTTACACTGGGCTAGACCATCAGACGACTTGCTTCAAGGCCAAACCAATAGCATCATCTCGGGCCTTTCCGTCAGAGGTCGGAAGAGCCAGAGAAGTTGCGATTGGGCCAAAACACATCTCCAGTCTTTCGTTTCCAACTACCGTTTCTAATTCATTGACTAAACCATTAAATGTTTGTTGACGAAACATGCATATCAATTCCAATGATCTTGAAAGATTCGATATTCATTGGATATTAGCAGCCTTATGTCCAACTTTGTTTATTTGATATTTAAACCAGCCAATAAATTTACGATTGGAATTCATATTGTTTGGACGTTCCATTGAACCTAAACGCTCTTACGATTAAAAGTAACTGACGAAATCCCCCCTTCTAAAAGTCAACGCGTGCAATATAAAAGTTGCAGACAAAGATATAGACAAAGCATAAATCCAGCCTTTTTTCGGTGGCAGGGGGCATAAAATAAAATGAAAAGGACAAGAGAGTTCTTTGCAATTCATTGATTCAAGAGATGTTTATAGATACATATAAAAATTCCAAGTCAACAAGGGTATTACATTTAGTGTAACATTCACTAACAAAGCGATTCATTACAAGAAATTTAATTACACTCTGTACGTAAAAATATATTGCGTTGATGTGATACCGTCAAACAACCAGAAGTCTCTGATGAGACTGTAGCTCTACTGGTCTGTTTGTATAACAAAAGAAAAGTAGCACTTGGATTTGAAACAGTGCAACATGCAACAATAAATAGAATTATGTATCTTAATGTAGTCTACTTTTGTGACAAGTTATATTGAAATCAAATGAAAACTAGGAGTAGTAGCGTTTTGAAAGTATTTCATAGAAATTTCTATTTCTAGTAACCATGACAACACCATTCACCCAAATAAAAAAAAACAGAAATACATATTATGTATCATAGTGTATTCTATCTGTGTGCCAAATTAGATTGAAATCAGACCAAAATTGTAGGAGGAGTAACATTTTAAAGGAATTTCACAGAAATTTCTATTTTAAGTAACCATGGCAACACTGTTCATCGAATTCAAAAACCAATGCAATAAATTATGTATCTTAGTATAGTCTTCTTGTATGCCTAATTATATTAGAAGCAGACTAAAACTGTAGCAGGAGTAGCGTTTTAAAGGAATTTCACAGAAATTTCTATTTTTAGTAACCATGGAAACACCGTCCATTGAAATCAAAAACCGATGCACTAAATTATGTATCTTAGTGTAGTTTACTTGTGTGCCAAGTTATATTGAAATCGGACCAAAACTGTAGGAGGAGTAGCGTTTTAAAGGAATTTCACAGAAATTTCTATTTTTAGTAACCATGGAAACACCGTCCATCGAAATCAAAAACCGATGCACTAAATTTTGTATCTTAGTGTAGTCTACTTGTGTGCCAAGTTATATTGAAATCGGACCAAAACTGTAGGAGGAGTAGCGTTTTAAAGGAATTTCACAGAAATTTCTATTTTTAGTAACCATGGCAACACCGTCCATCGAAATCAAAAACCGATGCACTAAATTATGTATCTTAGTGTAGTTTACTTGTGTGCCAAGTTATACTGAAATCGGACCAAAACTGTAGGAGGAGTAACATTTTAAAGGAATTTCACAGAAATTTCTATTTTAAGTAACCATGGCAACTCTGTTCATCGAATTCAAAAACCAATGCAATAAATTATGTATCTTAGTATAGTCTTCTTGTATGCCTAATTATATTAGAAGCAGACTAAAACTGTAGCAGGAGTAGCGTTTTAAAGGAATTTCACAGAAATTTCTATTTTTAGTAACCATGGAAATACCGTCCATCGAAATCAAAAACCGATGCACTAAATTTTGTATCTTAGTGTAGTCTACTTGTGTGCCAAGTTATATTGAAATCGGACCAAAACTGTAGGAGGAGTAGCGTTTTAAAGGAATTTCACAGAAATTTCTATTTTTAGTAACCATGGAAACACCGTCCATCGAAATCAAAAACCGATGCACTAAATTATGTATCTTAGTGTAGTTTACTTGTGTGCCAAGTTATACTGAAATCGGACCAAAACTGTAGGAGGAGTAGCGTTTTAAAGGAATTTCACAGAAATTTCTATTTTTAGTAACCATGGCAACACCGTCCATTGAAATCAAAAACCGATGCACTAAATTATGTATCTTAGTGTAGTCTACTTGTGTGCCAAGTTATATTGAAATCGGACCAAAACTGTAGGAGGAGTAGCGTTTTAAAGAAATTTCACAGAAATTTCTATTTTTTAGTAACCATGGCAACACCGTCCATTGAAATCAAAAACCGATGCACTAAATTATGTATCTTAGTGTAGTCTACTTGTGTGCCAAGTTATATTGAAATCGGACCAAAACTGTAGGAGGAGTAGCGTTTTGAAAAATTGTTTACAGACAGACGGACAGACAGACAGACGGACGGACGACGGACACCTTACTATCGCATAAGCTCTTCTGGTCTCTGACCAGTAGAGCTAAAAATTGAAATTAGACCCAACTGAAATTGTGAGAAAATAGCATTGAATTTTCTTACAAAATCATGCAATAGTAATTAAAATGAATCACAATGTTTATTTTACGTTATTTTTGACCAGAACTTTATTTTCTTGTCAAATAATCTCTCTATATTAAAAAAAAAAATCTCACAAGAGTCAGTAACTTCTTGCCAGTGAAATTTTATCTTTATCCAATGAAATTCTAGCTATAACTTCTGTTTGTATGCTATATACCCTTCCTTACCCGCAAGGATGGACAAATTCCTACATATCCTGGTTTATTGAACGCAAACAATTTAATTTTTTCCCTCTTAATGACGTCAAAAAGTGTTTATTTGTAGTGACATATTGAGGTAAATATGACTTTTAGACTGACACAACAATACAACTCATGCAAGTATGCATATTTTAATATTCTCTAATGTGTGTCACAGCAATCCGAAAACATTGAATGACTGCACATCCGGGCAAAACGTTCTCTGCTTCGCAACCTATAAAACAAAATTAATGAAATATGAAATCAGCGCAGTAAGTTTTACAAAAAAATTAAAGGTCTATCACTTGAGAGCTATGCCATATTGTAAATTTTGAATTTACCGGGTGGCAGTAAATACAAAAATTTACAACACGGCACCCGGTAAAATCAAAATTTACAAAATGATTCCTGTATTATATTACAGGGTGTCTACTGTACCTATAGTTGTTGACAGAATATACATAGAAAAACCCTCTGTGTGTTATATTTCCACCTTTAGCAGTAGCCAAGTATGATCCCTGGCAACTTGAAAAGATATAAAGATGATTTTACTCGATGTAAATTTAAGTTTTACCACACATTTACGATAAAAACACAGTAAAAAAATAAATGTTTACCTGTTCAGCTTTGCTGTTTCTTTCTGACATTGCATTCAGTATCCTGTTGTTACCGTTGTTGATTACCCTCTCTTTAAATGACGTCACAGTGTGACTGCATTCTCCAACAGCACAATCGGGATCATTGTCTATGCATGCTTGATACTATAAGAATTGTACAAGCTGAATCATATATCGTAAAAAAGAGTACTTAATTAAATAAATGCTTTATCCTTCAAAGAACTTTGAAGACAATAAAGGGACTCACGTATGACTACTAGTACATGTTTTTGACTTTCTTGAAAATATTTTAACATTGTGTAATAGGATATATAGGGTGTGCACGTCGCAAGAAAGATTTGTTCACAGGATGAAGCTCTGCCATTCAGTTAACTGAAAGTCCACTGAAAGGTGACTGAATGGCAGAGCTCTGCCATTCAGTGATCTTTCCAGACTTTTCAGTGATCTTTCAGTTTACTGAATGTGTAGGTTCATCCTGTGGTTTTTAAAATTAATCTGATAGAAGGTGCAAATGCTGTTTTTTCCCTCGGAACTGCGCATCTATACTCTACGGACGTACCACAGGAAAACTAGTACAACTCTGATTTGTACATTGTAGAATTTTAGACAATGTCGTTGGCTCCTTGAGTATCCTCCAGATTAACATATTTACTTAAAAATTGTTCTGTTATTACATGTACCTGTTTGTAGATACGTGTGTCCATGCCCTGCTCAATCAAGTACACAGCTATATCCTCTTGACCTTTGTCCACACAGTCAAAGAGCACATGACTGTAGCGGTTTAGGTTTCCATACATCAACACGCCTTTAACCAGGTCCTTAATCTTGGGCAAGTCGTTTTTCTGTTTAGTAAAAAAAAAAAATTGCAAATTTGAAAAAGTGTGTGTGCAAGAACCTAACAGTCATTAGAAATTCCCATCCGCCTCAATACCTCTTTGAAACAGGTATTTTACTGACAAATGGCCGATTCAACAATTTGCAGTGTATCCTGAAAGATTATTTAAGTTCATGGCGAAAAATTGATATATTAATTGCTGAATGAGTACAGATATAACATGCTTGAATATTTAGTTAAGCTTCACTGAGACACAAAAACACCTTTACAGCCTCCATAAATGCCCTTTCGAAATTGGTTTGTGCCAGGAACACATCAAGTCTGAATTCCTGGATCTCCTTCTTTAACGCTAAGTACGTTCTCTGCCCGCAAACATCACATTGATAGTCAACGCTTGTACGTTCTTGCTGAAACGGAACCAGCAGTCATTACTTCTTTTTCTCAAAAAAAATCCCAAATTATTGCATCTACTGATAACATTCAACAACCGCATCACTTTTTTCATGGATTAATTTGTAATCGGCACCAGCACATACAGGTTTTTGTATAAAACATGCATAAAAGGAGGGGGAGGGGGCAGAAATGCTACTTCTAGTTCTTATGATTTGTTGGATTTATATATGCATTCTTGTAAACCTCTCTACCACGGAACTTTCAATTATTCTGCAAAACTAATTCAGCTTCTTTCCACAAATAGCATGCTGCCTTACTTGAAATGTGATTTTTATTCCTAGTGGTATTGATGTAATCTTAACTTTCAATTCCACGCCATACAATTTTAATTAACATATTTTCCTTGTGTCGTAATTCTTACCACGTCCTTGATATCAACTGATGCTCCCTTTTCAATCATGAAATCTATGATGTCATTGCCTTCCAGAAAGATTTCTGCATAGTGTAACGGCGTTCGTCCTAGCTGTAATTAATAAAATTGTTTTTTAAAAAAAAATAATTTTCAGCAAGTAGGAAAATCTTCCATTTTTGTAGCATGGATCAGTTTACACGACAGTAACTACAGTCTCTGATAGCAATTAAGATGAAAAAAATCGAAATTAAATAAAAAATCACAAAATAGTTTGCCTGAAAAGCAATTATTTTTCACCAGAACATCTATACACGTGTTGTTATCTATATTTTCGAACATCACACTAAAAGCTCATACGTGTGACTAAAGAATCCAAAGACATATCTTTAAGAAGTGCTCAATTCTTCTGCTAATGTTTCCCTTCGAGGAACCTACATACAAAAACAATAATAAATGGATTTTTCAGTTAGGCCACAATGTTCTTACATTATCCTGCATGTTGAGAAGCTGAGGATAGTGAGTTGACAGGTATTCTACTATTGACTTATACTGATGCATAACAGCAATATGAAGGACATTTCTCCCACAAATATCCTGAGCACAATAATACTTCCTTCCCAATAAATTCTTTAATTGCTGTAGATCACCTTCGTGTGTAGTTTGGAATAATTTGCAAATGTGTTCCTGTAACAGAAAGTGATTTCTACAGTAAAATACGCTTGTAGCAAATCATTCGAAATTGAAATCCTGGATATAGTCATACATACATGTACATTTATCACCGAGATGATGAAACTAAGCAAATAGCTTTTAGGGGAAATTATCTCTCTGTTATTATCATAGTTCACTATTTATTGCATGGGATGCAATTTAAGATTTTTATTGCATGAGATGCAGTTTAAGATTATCTCTGTTATAACTGTATTTTACTATACAATGTTGTTGTTGCATGGAATATATGGCATCAATTACACTGTACCTGAACATTTTTAAATTTGTTCAGTGTTTCTCTCAGTTGTGTAGATTCACTATTTCTTGCTATCCCAAGGGCCGTCACCCCATCCTTATCCTTAGCTTTCAGAACTCGGTCATATCCCAGTAGAATCATATCCTCAACACGTGACATGTCACAATCCCGAACGAGGCTGATCACGTGATTATCTAAAAGTTTACAGTAATGTAGTTTTTTCTCTTTCTTGGCAATATCATATGCTGTAAATCCTTGTTTATCGCGCAATCCTATCCGGATTCCTTGACTGAGTAGAAAATTAATCATTATTTCTGATGAGTCTTGTGAAATGGCTTCAAACAAAACTGTTCGTCCATTGAGATCCCTGACGTTGAGATTAGAGCCACGTAATATCCGGTAGGCAATTTCATCTGATGGTTTGAAAGGGCCACCTAGAACCTACGAGTAAAAAGGGAAAAAAATGTTTAAAGACATACGCAACGTACCATACCTACTGATAATTTTTCAAGATATTCTTAATTTATGATTATAGTGCCACCAGATGTTCGTAGACAAAAAATCAGCATGCATTACCAGGGGTTTAAAAAAGATATCAATTGATGAAAATTCTTGTATAATTCAAAGAAAAATATACAAAAATTACTAAACATAATTATATTCTAGATGTTTTGTTTATCCAAACTTGTTTTAGAAGAAGTGTACAACAGCATATATAGACATTAAATTGTAGCACACGGTTCCTTTAAGTATTGGAACTCTTCAACTCCAGGGGAAAAGACAATAAAGTTCAAACTACGTTGCGTATGTCCTTAAATTACTAGTATGTTCACTTTAAGGTCCGTTGATTTCCGATAAGAGAGATAACTCACTGGGATAGACAACAGAATTGTCTTGTTAAAATGTTAATTTTCCTCGCAGGGCAGTTTAAAATTATAAATTGCATTTCTTATGAAACGTCGTAAGTTTTAAAACAAAAAACAGCCTTAAACTGTATTCTTCTGTATTTTTTTCACAAGGCAAGACAATTTTCATAAAACAAATATGGATGTTTAGTTCCGACAAATTATCCAGACACAAATACACTTGTATGCCATTTTTTTAATTGACTACAGTTTACTTCTCCGAGAACAGGATATAAGAAAGATTCCGATACGGAAGCCATTCATATTTGGAAATAACAAGTCAAGACAATTATCTGTCGCAAAGATAGTATATCAGGGTATTTCTTTAATTAGAGTTGAAAACAGTCTTGAGTGCAAAATCTAATCCAGCTTGTCAGACAAATTTTGAAATAAAGACTATCACTGTGTAAGAGCATAAGATATGCTGATATACGGTTAAAATGTTGAACATATTAGAGACAGAACACTTCCCATGCAGTAATTATACAATTTAACAATATTATTCCATTCAGGCCGTGAACCTGGGATTAATCAATTCTAGAACGTGCCATAAAATACTTGTCATTTCTCACAGTATTAATTATAATCACACACAGGGAATTTGGATATTGCGTGGGGAATACGTGAAATATGAATGTATAAAGTACAGAGATACTAACTATAGATACATTTGTAGGTTTGAAAAAAAAAAGTCCGGGTTTCATAACCTAGGACTTTCAGTGGACACCCCATGCAAGTTGACACAAATCTAGCGGTACTTCGTATGAGAGAAACTCAATCTAACACGTCGCGCATTCATTGTTAGCTGATAGCTGTTTACCGGCTTCGATACGCTAGCAGCTTCTGAGGTACTTATTCATCTTAAGTCTTTTGTTGTTGCAAAACTTCATTTGCACAGGGTGACCTAAGAATATAATCCAGATTGCCACCAACGCTCTATGTACGTAGGGAGAAAACTGTACGCAATAGTTTCATAGAGGCAGTTATAAATGTTGGATTTTATGCATGATCATATGTATAAAGTACAGATACACTGACTACATACATTTGTAGGTTTGAAATAAAGTTCGGTTTTCATAACATAGGACTTTCAGTGGACACCCGGCGCAAGTTAATATAAATCTAGCGGTACTTCGTTGATCAATCTAACCCGTAGCGCATTCGTTGTTAGTAGATAACTGTTTACCTGCTTTGATACGCAAGCAATTCTTCTCGGGTACAGATTCATCTAAAAATCTTTATTTATTGCAAAACTTCATTTGCACAAGGTGATCAAAAATTTGCATAAATAAAATCCAGATTGCACCAACGCTCTTGGTGCGTATTTCAAAGGGACGTAAGTTAAGTTGTCTATCTTTGTTAAGAAGTGACTTTATGCAAATTTTAAAAAGATATGCCCAAGGTCAGACAAAATTTGTATAAAATAGGTAGGTATGAAGGGTGGATGGTGGGGGAAATTAATCCCACGGAAGATTTTGTACTGCATAGTCTGAAAAGTCCGCGTCGAGTTTGATATAATGTTCCTCACCTGTCAGTAACTTCCTCCTTAAGCAGAGGGGGGGGGGGGAGGATTCACATAGATATATCATTCTGCATGTTGTACAACATAGAGCTGAAATGTTCGCGTTGAGTTTGATCTGATGTTCCTCACCTGTCAGCAATTTCCTCCCAAAGCAGGGAGAAAATTTAGGGCCGGGTTTCACAAAACTTTTGTAAGATTTGTCCTAATTAAGGTTATCTTGAGATATGACTTATGATAATCATAAGATTTGTCACTGCTATTTCACAAAAACTATCTTAAGTGTAAGAAATCTTAAGACAAGTCTTAAGACAATTTCATGCTTCAATGTCACGAGGAAATTAAAAAATAAATATGTTTGCAAGAAGTTTAGTTATCTTTCTTTCATTTTCTTTAAACTATTGAAATAATAGTGTGTCTCAAATAATTTCTTTTGCAGTTATATTCTCAGAAAAAACAAACAAACAGCATTTTATTGCATCGGCTTCAATGTACTTTGAAAGGGGAGGGGGGGGGGGTCAGAAAAGCTAATTTGAATAAATTTCATTACGAAAATTTATTGAATAAAATTTTCTTAAATGTCTTTTTGCTCATAAAATAATAGTTGCTGACAAAATATATATGATTCTACTTTTGCAATCCACAACTGCATTTATTCCTTTGCAAATAATGAATGGCTTTCCAATAAATTCGGTTGAAACGCCAACTCGTGTTCACAGTCCCCCCCCCCCCGGTTCGTTCATAAAAATCTATGTAGGGTCTGAGCCGATGAACTACTGCAACGAAATAACAGTGGTAACAGAGGAATTAGAGAAACGAAAGAACAATTTCCAATCAGAATTTAACAGTTTCAATTGCTATGTAGAAAACATGTAGCATCAAATGGTACAGCAGTAATTATAATGATTTTTCATAAACATTCCGGCGGATTAATGGGGGTACCTCAAGAACTTAAACTATTTGATTTTCATCTAAGTTTGTAAGACTGAAAGACTGTTTAGTTTCTAGGAAAAAAAATCACCACAATGTAACAAAATAAATTATTGTAAAACGCTTAAAAATGCAAGGTGGCTACACCAAAGTTCGATTTTGTTTACAATGTACTTTCATGGGTGGGACTTGTCCGAACCATAATATATATATATATATATATATATATATATATATATGTATATATATATATATATATATATATATTACGAAAACATATCAATAAATCAATTACACTGTACATGTATCTCGAATCGCGTTAGTCATTTTCAAAATTACATAAGTAGTGATGCTTAGAAATAGAAAATATGATGAAATGATGAAAATATAATGAATTCAAAATTAAATAATTTTGAATGAAGTTTTAAATAATACCTGGATCTTACAATACATTCATGTATACATGGCCGGAAGAAGGAAGTTCTAGCTGGGGGCGGAGGGGGGGGCGTGAATTTCAGTTGGAAGGGGGCACAAGCAAATAAGAATAATGGGGACCATAAAGTAGGTATATTTTGTTTTCTATCGTATAGTATTTATTGGCAGAATTATTATAGGCGGAAAAGGGGGGGGGTCATTGTTCCGACTGGCCTGATATAGTCCAAAGGATTGTTCTATCGCACATATCTATAAAAACCGTTCTCTTTTAAAAATTATTCGGTTTTGGGCCAAAAGATATACTGTCGCCATGTTCACTTTAGACTTAAGACAGGTATCTAGTTGTCTTAAGATTAAGATAGATCTTTTAATAAATTTTATAAGATATGAGAGTTGTGAAAAAGCTATGGTGCAATCTTAAAATAATTTTCGGTCTAAACTAATAAAAATTAGTTATCACTATAGGCAACAGAGTATGTTATTTGAGTATTAAAAAAATGTATTTTAATAATTACTCCGTTGTAATACATTGTAAAGTGTGTGTTTTAATTAGTGAAATAGGTTTTAAAATAGCCAATAATGGATATTTAAGGTACTTGCAAGAGTCGTAAGTCAATAAAAGATTACCGAACTTGTGTAAAGCATTACTCCTATCATAATTTAGCTGCAGACCTGTAGCGTTATAGTTTGATATTTCAGTCTTTGATCATAACGCTACAGATCCCGTAATGTAAATAAAGTGCAATTTACGGCGCAAGATTTTCTGCGCACTTTGGGGAAGTATTTCGCTACTTTCCAGCATTGTTCAATCAACGACCTTTCATCCCCTAATTCTAGACATATTCTATAACCAACCTGTATATTTTATCTAACCTCCTAACCCTTTATAGTTGTCTCTACAGACCTATGTCGTTGAACCATTTTTGCAACGCAGCTCTGTTAAGGCTGCATAAAGGGGGCGGGGCCTAATTTATACGGGAAAAGTTTTCTGAGACATCACACAAATATAGCAATTCCTCACAATAACAGAAAATGAAATAATTTGCGATTCTAAACTGCATAAGAGTAATAGATCTTGACCATTTTTTGAATATACATAACAGACATATTCCTTAACTTGAAAAGTGCTGCTACTTTCCTGAAATCGAGAGCATTACTTAATTACTACATAAAATACTTGATAAAGGTCACAGATATTTCGACATAAACCAGATAACTTGAAATTTAAACTATTAAAATGCGAATTCTATTTAAAGCAGCAGCACTTTCCATAAACTACAAGTTATGCAGAAACAATTTGTTACTTAATTTTTTAATTTTAACTAGGGTATGCCCTTGCGATATTGAAATTTGTTTGTGACCTATATACAGTACACATTATATGCATTTATCACGTGACTGTCAAATAACGTGACCAAATCAAATTCAGTACAGAGCGAGGTATAACAATGTTATTTCAAATAATATTTAAAGCCATGTGATAATATAGTACCTTTACAAAAATAATTCAGTTAAAAAAGGTATGTATTTTTGCACGGTTATATTCTGTTGATTTCTTCGAAGTACGCCTTAACACTGCTGCGAATCTTCAGGGAATTTTTTTAAATATCTGGTGAGAATTTGAACTATACTTTTAGCCATAAAATTCGATTTTGGGCTCAAAGAGGCTTAAAACCTCATACTTTTTTTTTCGATCGCTCACGCGATCTCATATATATTGAAGTCGCCTACGGCGACACTATATTTTAGCGCGTTTTTCTGGGGACCGGTAAAGTCGTTCCGAGATATTGGTTTGGAAACAAAAGCGCAAGTTAACACAAATCTAGCGGTACTTCGTTAATGAAAGAAATTCGCTCAATCTAACCCGAAGCGCACTAGTTGGTACCTGTTTACCTGCTTTGATACGCTATCAAATCTTCTGGGGTACTAATTCATCTAAAATCTTTATTTGTTGCAAAACTTCATTTGCACAAGGTGATCTAAAATTTGCATAAATATAATCCAGATTTCATCAACGCTCTATGTGCGTATTTCAAAGGGACGTAAGTTAAGTTGTCTAACTTTGTTAAGAAGTGACTTTATGCAAATTTTAAAAAATTATGCCCAAGATCAGACAAAATTTGTATAAAATAGATATGTAGGAAGGGTGGATGGTGGGGGAAATTAAACCCACTGCAGAGGTTATACTGCATAGTACTGAATGTCCGCGTTAAGTCTGATTTTCCTCACCTTCAGCAACCTCCTCCTGAAGCGGTGGCACGGTGGAGGGGGGATTCATATATATATATATATATATATATATATATATATATATATATATATATATATATATATATATATATATATATATATATATCAGTCAACAGAGTATGTTATTTGAGCATTAAAGAAAAGAAATAAAGTTTGAAATGAAATCAGCATTGTTTGACCAGTTAATTAACATTACTTATGTATAAGCAACAGACATTATAATGAAAATATGAAAGAATGCTGGTTGATTCCTGCAATGCACGTCCTACATAGTTTACTTGCTATTTCTTGATTATGCTCACTCTCATATTGTTATATCTTTTAATATTGTATATATGTTTGTTATAACTATATGCGATCTGATGTGTAGTATGACGCAAAGAAATAAAGTACTTGTTGACATGAGGAACTAAATAATTACTTTGTTGTAATTTATGTACAATGTATTTGTTTTAATTAGTAAAATAGGTTTTAAAATAGACAATTATGGATATTTAAGGTATTTGAAAGAGTCATAAGTCAATCAAAGATTACCAAACTTGTGTTATCTAGCTGTAGAGCAATACTGAATACTGGCTCTTATCATAATTGACAGAATCCCCCAACAGATAGTACACAGTATTGTTTTCACAAAACCAAATACACGTATTTACTATTTAGGAGAGAGAAAGAGGGGGGGGGGGCTTTTTCTTAATTTTGATAAATATATTGAAAGGGAAAAGATATGCATATTTCACTTGGTCTATTGCAATGGCATCTTGTCATTGTTAAAATAAAGTAGTTTCAAACTGCAAGAGTAACTGCAAGATTCCTGGACGCTGGAATGCCAGAATTAGACAGAAAACTGTAAGCAATAGTTTCATAGAGGCAGGCCTCAAAGCACACAGGTCATCCCTTTACAAACACGTTTCACACGACAAGAACGCACGTTGCTACCAAGGTTTCCATGTGATCAACAAAAAACACACAGAATGATCACTATTTAGTCCCGCGATGTCTCCATTTGAGCAATTATGGTACGAAATGGATTAACAAATTTGATTTCCATATATTCGACTTCAAACGCCACAACTTAGCTGAGGCAAGCGCTTATGGAGGAGTGAAATCTCATCTCTTTTCGAAGTATTAACCATCTGATAAATTTTATGCTGGAAATTATACCAGCGGCTGTAAATGCGGAATGAGAACACAATCATGCGATGCTGACTTTCGAAATTTTGAATTTTTAAAATTCAGACCTACTCCTTATTGTCAAAATTTGCAGGGTTAAAATGTCCTTTGATATGAAATTATGCCTTGATAAATGATAACTAGAACTGTCCGAAAGGGACAAATACCCCCCGCTGGGTTTTTCAGAGAAGGTACCAAATCACCAATGTTCTCTAGATGTGAGAGGTGTTCACAATTTGCTTTAACATTTAGAGTGAAAATTTAATTACTCATTATATTTTTTTTAATGAATGAAATTAAGGTACAGCCTAATAAAACATCAATACTAATAATTACAGTGTTTTTTTATTACATTGAAGAAATAGTTTGCAACTATCTGTCATCTTTGTGAGACATGACACTCTGCAAATTGATTGTTGAAAAAAAAATATCATGATAATTAATTATACAAAATCAAATTGATCTTAATACCTTTATATCAAACTCATTTTAAAAATAAAAGGCTGGTTCCAGTAACTATGTATTTTGACAGACATAAATTACAATTAAGAGACTTAGACAACAGAGATCTTTATTTCTTTCTGCCCAATTCCCAGGAGATATAGATAAGACCTGCTTGATCAGAGATGCCTTAACAGCTTCCCACACTGAACTCATTAATTAATCTTTAACTGGATGCATGTCCACTCATTACTCCCAAGGGACAAATGGATTTACACTATCTGCTGTGTAATGTAAAAACTGTTTTTAATACCTGGTGATGTTTTTTTTCAGTTTTAATGAGTAGCTTTAAGCTGTAGTTCACATTTTTGTACACTTCAGATGTTCTAGATTCTATGTCTCAAACCTTAGACATTTATAAACCCATAATGACTTTTTCAATAAAAATGAAAAAAAAAACATCTGTAAAATGCAGAAAAATTATCAAATAATGTTGAAAATACCAGGTGTACATCTTCATATGGTAAATAATGAGTGTACAAATTTTCATACAAATCTATGCAATAGCCTCTGAGAACAGGTCCGGACAAAACCACACAATAAAAATGAAAAAAAGACCTGTAAAATGCAGAAAAATTATCCAATCATAATGAAAAAACCAGGTGCACACCTTCATATGGTGAATAATAAGTGTACAAATTTTCAGACAAATCCTTGCAATAGTTTCCAAGAAACGGCCTGGACAAAATCTCGTCTACAGACAGACGGACAGACAGACGGACATGGTGATTCCAATATACCCCCCCTAAACTTCGTTTGCGGGGGGTATAATTATGAGTGAATTATAGCATATAATTATATTTGGCTATCATTGTGTCGCAAAGTAATAAAAGCTAGCCTTACACATTTAGCCTTACACAACGCAAAATCAAACTGATTGTAATTAATTTGCATAAAAATTCACAGAAAAATAAGTGAAAACATATACATGTACATGCAGGGTAATGCTACTTACGTGGAAAAAGAGAGGCTTAGGTTTTTCTTTATCTGGTTCTGATGAAAAGAGTACACTAGTGTCGGCACCGAGCTCCATCATTATGTCGACTGTCTCCAAACATCGTGTCTCCCAAACGGCCACCAGGAGCGGGCGTGGGGCTATTGGTGTATTAGGGGCCGCAAACTGGTAACTGTAGTCTTTGGTGTTGACGTTGATGTTTACTATAATTTCTGTAACAAAAAAAAAAAAAAACATTATGATGACGTAGATTTAGAAAACCGGTATGCCAATGAAGGTATTTACGATTGACAAGACTGAGGTAGATAAGAGGGCGGGGCATTTTTTTTTTGTCAATATAATTTGCATATTTATTTTAAAAAAGACTTCATGTAATTTCGTTCCCTCCCCCTTCCTTCTCTAACAAACAAACATCAATCTTACGATCTTTAATCCACTGTCTAATTAGCTTAGCCTCACACTCAAGCAAGGCGGGGATGAATTCGTTTGTGTTTTCGTACTCTTCTATGAGCTCTACGAGATTCCGCCCATAAGCTGTCTCTAAGAGTCGGGACTTAAGGTGGATTGTCTGGCGATTCTTGACCACAGTTACACGGCACCAAAACTTCAACAGACGACGTATCAGCTCTCTGTCTGGGTTGTCTTCTTGAAGAGCGCGGTACAAACCTAGACAAGAGAATTGAGGTGTCAAGATATTAGTTTGGACATTAGGCAATCTCTGGATACATTTTTGTGGTATTGAAAAAAGTTCCCAATTATTTAACTTCATTTTTCATCGAAAATAACAGTTTATTAGACATCTATTTTTGTTATTTATTTACCGAAAACTTGTGTCTGATGCACCTATTTAACCAAGATATCATTTAAAGAATTATTTCTCAAGTTTGAGTGGTAAGTTTTGATGTAGTTTTTACTCTTATACACACAGACACTTGTTTCGTATATAGGATCACCCCATTCTTTTTCTTTGAGGGGTGGGGAATCATAATTTTGCTAAAAGTATCGCTTGTACAGTTTAAAGAAAAACAAATTTGATAAAATTTCTGTACCATTTTCCAATCTTGTTTTTTTTTTTTTTTAAAAAAGCACACTTTCACGTCCGATTTTAGTAGATACACTGAAAGTTTATGAATATTAGTATTTTTTAAAAAAAGATAACGCCTTAAAAACACAAACACACGCAATTTTAACATGGCGTTTAAAAAGTGATCGATTAAATGGAGAGCGTGGAGAGCGACCCGGATTTGACAATTTTACGAAAGCTAATTTCATCTTGGCAACTCTATACACTGGGTCGAAGGAATTTCACAGTATGACACAGGGGGCAAATTTTCTTATATATACGAGTGTACTTTAGCAAATGGCATCGATAAACAAAGATGGAACGAATGTCCCGAAGTAAGTTTTACAGACTTGACTTAAATATAAAAAAAAAATAATAGGGTGAATCCCCTTTTGTTTTCGTCTGTTCATTTACAAATGAAGGAAATATACATTATATAAATACGACTTTCGTTTCAAATGAATAACTCTGTACATGTGTCGGTCACTTATTCAGTCCTCGTCGGATACGGGTAACCCATGGGTGATTAGTAAAAGACGAGATCGCCCGTGGGTATCCGACGATGTTATTCCGTGTTATTACCAGGTTTGAACATGTTGTAGTAATGAAGAGTCTCCTCCCATCCCTCGGGTTTCTCCTCCAGTAAAACATCGGCTGGTGTCTGGCTCTTCTTATTGCGAATTAATGGATCCGCCCCACTCCTACCAAAAATAATACACAAAAAAAAAAAAAAAAAATTAAAATGATTTTTTGAGCATTGAATTCGATTTCTCGTAACAATGTATTTTTTATATTTAGATTTTAAGTGTACAAGTGTATAAAGACTTTAGACGAAAATACTGAAATGTATCCGGTTTTCCTTTATATAAGAAAAATAATACAACGCTTCTCATTATGTGGTTTGTCAGATAGTTAACACGAACATCATTTAAATGACATGTTTAAACAAACGATTCTGGTTTAAAAAAGCAGGAAATGAGATGAAATTTTGTGGACGTAACAGAAGTTCGTTCTTTGATGTGATAAAACAATAATCAAAAATAAATTAAATCCAGGAAAACTTTTAAAGAAATTTCGCTTACACTTCTGCATATATATGTGTGCAAATGAGATATAAATATATATTTTCGGTAAATATATCTGTTGTATATGGATTATATAGTCATTATATATTCTTATTGCAGATTTTTATTGATAATAAAATACTTGCACAAGAACGTCAGAAAGACACTATATCCTTGAAGAGCAAAAAAAAAAAAATTTTTTTTTTCATTTAGATTTAAAATATTTGATTTTCCTATTACTGAAATTCATGGGGATAATAAAGGGTCATATTTTCAATTTTAAAAAGCATAGAATGACAAATTCACCATAGTCTTCATGCTGTGTCCTTACCGAATAACAGAGACCAGTACACGATGGGTATGTGGTTTCCGACAAATCTTGTGGAGAAACGTGTCCCCATTAATATCAGCAATATCTAGATCCATGCCTTTACACGCCATCAAATATATGATCCCCACCCCACGGGCGCTCGTGAAGTGGCGGATCTCCTCCGCCAGGAGGTGCATAAAACTCTCCCCCGTCTCTTCATCTCGTGCGTTAAGGTCCTTGCCACTGTAAGCATAGTTGTAACAAGCATCAAACACTTCATCTGCATCGTCAGATTCTTTGAGAAGTTTGTATAACTTGCCTTCTCGTAATCTCGCCATTTCTCCTTAATAAGAGGTCAACATACAAAATGCACACAAATTTATCGACCGCTGTGCTGTAATAATCGGTCTTAATCCGAGAGGTGTTAGCGATTTGGTTCCTTTTTTTCAGAATGTGAATGAATGCATATACAGAGTATTTACATTTTGACGTCAAACCCGGCCTTTCGTAGATATACCTTCAATTAAAATAAAAAAGAATATGTATCTCGGTTAACTTTACTAAAGCAAATATCCTTGTGTCCAAAGTTCTTACGTTTAAATGAATAATTTAAAAAAATGCGCACTGGGCTTGAAAAAAAAACGAAATTAAAACGTCTGACGTATATTTAATTAAGATCATACATAGTAATGTAGAGAGCAATCATATATAATTAATTGTGAGAAATATTTTAACTAATTCGTATAAAAAACATATCTTACCAACAGTTTTTGTTGTACTGCACAGCATTGTACGCTGTACATTATGAACAACCAAATAGACCGCCGTCCTGTGTATAGAAGGAATAGTTGTGTTTCGTCAATTTCCTTGTTAAAAAGCATTCAGCGGCGCATTAATCATTAAGTACTTTAATAAGTTTTGTTGTGGAAAAATCCGTTCAAATAGAAATAGAACATTCCTTTTTTTAAAGTCTTCTTTCTACTGCACAATTGAAAAGAGATAGGAAGAAATCGATATTTCTATATCATATATTGAATTTGGAAGTTCCTTACATTTACAAAAGGCTTAATACGAGTCCATTGAACACTTGACAAGTAACTTGCCTGTAAAAGACCAACTCGATGAACCAAATAATTTTTAGCAGCATATTAAAATTAATATGGTGCAGATTTCTAAATGCATAGTCTACACCTTGTTGTACAGGTATTTACAATTTCTATTTCCTTCAATTAAATAGGAATTTTGCGATTAGATAGTTATATAGGAATATTGCTTTCAGATAGTTATACAAGAATATTGCTATTATATAGTCATATTTCATATATTACTCCTTTATTTCCGAGAGAGAGAGAGAGAGAGAGAGAGAGAGAGAGAGAGAGAGCTTGTATATATGTTTAAATATGGACAGTTTGAAAAAGTGAACACTATTATATTCCGCTCGTGTGATCATTACCCTTAAAGATCTTATATCTTGTATATGTCATTGATCTAAATAAAGATCACATTACAAGATCAAAGTGTGCATTCAAACAGAAGTGGTATTTACACGCTTGATGCTTAATTAGCAGGTACTCCCGATATAATGATATTATATTGTATGGAGTTTTATATATTTAGCTATATTAATTGGGAATGCGTGCAATTTTCCCTGCATACGACGGAATCAGTGTTTGCTTATTTATGTTTGCAAAGTTAATATATGCATTTTTCAATTTATTCAAATTAATTATTGTATATAAATTTTCAAATCGAAAATCTGCAGTTCTTTCAGAGACAACACCTACGTTGTATGATCATTGTGTTTTATGATTTTGCTTAGTGCATTGTATATATAGACTATCTTCGGAGGGAAACGATCCATTGGCCTAGTAAATGAAAGACATATATGTATTTAGAATATTTAGAAAATAATTGCTGATTAGTTGATAAAATATATATAACTAACAGTACGCTTTGTTTGGTGGCCTCTAAGTTGAATGGATAAAACACAAGCGGATAGAATTGGTACAGTTTATAAATGTGTATACTTCGTTTGGAGTTCTTTGCTACAGCAGTGCCTTAACATTATCGATTAGTATTTTCTGCTTTTGTTTAAAATGCAGTTGTGCATTTCCTTTCGAAAGACAATGATAAATTCAGCCTTTAGGGCTTAAATGCACACAATCTAAACGTACTTCTTTTTTTTCTCTCCTTTTTTTTTTACGACGTTTTGATTATCTATCAGTCCGGTGATTACTGCAATGAGTAGTTCTGCAGGTGTCGACAACTAATTTAGTGTTGCACCGTGGCTTAGTCAAAATTGTGTTTATTTTATGGACGACCAAAGAGCTTTTTATGGTGATGAAGACCAAGTTTACCTTATGGGACTCGAGGTTATGTCTCTAGAGTTACGACAGTGTCCGGCGGAGGGATTTATAGGAGATTAAGTAGGCACAGCCGGGAACCATTAAGAACATCTGGGTTTGTCCGTAGAATATTCGCCATACAATTTATTTATTGTACAGGAACAGTATAGACTAAGACCTAAGTTTTGTTTCATATACAGTTTTATTTCTGATGTGTTTTCCTTTTCTGAGGAAAAAAACCCCGAATATTTTGAAGGATTTTTGCAAGTTACATTTATTATAAAAACATGAGATTACGAAGACGTTCCAACTGTGCTTTGAGCAGCGGTGTAATAGGAATTCCATCGAGGAGGTATTCGGCACTAATGGATTATCATTCATCCGGCACTTCCGGTCTCGACCGCCGAGGATCACTTCCGGCTTCGATGTTACGTTTCACGCCTCTCTTCCGAATCGAGAGGAAAATTTCACAGTTCGAAACCTCTCGTTATGACGTGCGCTCCCTGAAGTTCGATACTTCCATTGATAAAAATCACATCAAGAGACTTCTATTCCTTGTGGGAATATTATTTGTGTTTACATTTACTGCTATATCATATTCCTTTTACAAAGTGCTTAAAAAGAAATACAGTGTTTGAATGACCTTTCTTGTAGCAGAAGAGGCCCTCTCAACCTACATCGAAAACAAGATGATTAGTCTTGGATCCTTAAATTGTCGGAGTGAGATTTTGATGAGGAAGAAGGGACAACCTTAAAATCTCAGCGACTTGAATTCTGACTTACCTTAGTGCTATATACGTTTGCAGAAAATTTCGCAAGCGTAAAACCTTTTTACGTATATTTACATTAAAATTCGCAATCTACAGGCAATAGTTGAAAAGGAAGGCATCTAAATGTGGATTTAAAGTTGACTTCAGACGTGACGAAGAATCAATGTGAATGTCTTTATAATTTTTTGTTAGTAAATTATTTTATTTATTCATGAAAATGGAAAAATGTCTTGAATGTCAATGGAAAAATGACATTTTACACGTAAAGTGGTGTAAAGGTCCAGGTTAAATCGTGGGCGTCTTGTGTTTCAAATCTCGACTTTCTTTAATCTTTTTTGCTACATGTTATGTAAGATAATCGCGCGACTGTACGTGTATATACATGTATATATATCAAACCTTTGATGTGCCATCGCTTTCTGTGTTTTATATTTGGATTACAAAAAAATATGCCTGATTATAGGTTATCAAAAAAAACTTTGACATTTTTAAAATTATTTTACAATGTTAAAATATCAAACCTAAAAATACATTTGCATTAAAATTTTACCTAATTTTCTTATTTATTAATTAATTATTTCTGTTATAGAAATTCAATTGTTATGTATTATATATCTTCAAGTTTCAGCACTCATATCAAATCAATTGCAACGGAATATTTTATTATTAAACAATGTATAGCTGTAAATTATCCCTTTTTAGGCACGTACGTTTGATGCATGAAACCAATAGTTATTATAAAATCAGTTTTTATAAATTAAATGTATGTGCAACACGCCAGTAATTCATTTATTATCAGAGGCGGATCCAGGAATTTACGCAAGGAAGGTTGGGACATGAAATATATCTTCAGAGGCAAGGGGTCTGGGGACCGCCCTGAGGCCTCCGGTAAGTCCAGGCCAAAAGCGCCATAGAGGGGATTCAGGAGACGAGACCACCGAATGTTCTTGAATTTTTTAGATTAAACAACAGGTGCAAACTCCGAACATTTTAGCATCAATTTTTATTACGCAAAATTTCTTCTCATCAGTTTTATATATATAAAAAAAAAATTGAATAAGGACTCTGTTCTTTAAATGATGAAGTTTTACAGAACTATTTTAAGCTGTCGTATAAAAAAGATTTTAATATAATGAGTATAATTTTAGTCGGTACATTTTTGTCTTGATTATGATACGTTATAAGAATACAAAACTAACAAACTGCTTTCTGATATACAAATGTACATGTTCAAAATGGTACATGTACCTCTCCGAAAAACATAAATGGTTCACAAACCGGAAAAGTACCCCCCCCCCCAAAAAAAAGAAAGAAAAACTGGACTTGTTTCTCCAATTTCCTAAATCTGCCATGGAGGTATTTTATACAAAAAAAAAATTTTTGAGACATTATTCAAATAATTTTGTCATTTTACTTGCCTTAGAAATTCTTTAAATCGTCTTCTCAGTCTCAGAATGTGAAGTGTATTAAATTCTTACCAATCGACGATCGCCATATATCCACGTAACCCTGTTTTACAAGAGTAACAAATCTCGTATTTTATATTTATCTATTTCAACGTATTTTAGCATACATTTTAATATCATGATAGTTTTCTTTTTAAATTTATAAAAGGCAATCTAATATTTGGAAATTTCGGGGGAAGGATGCCCCCACACCCCCTTTTTAATCAACCAATGATTTAGCACACACACCAGAGAGAGAGAGAGAGAGAGAGAGAGAGAGAGAGAGAGTTTTGCTAGCATATCATAAATTTTATCACAAGTGGACGATTTTAATTCTTATTTTAAACAATTTTCGAGTATTAGTGGATGATTTCACTATCCCTAAATGATTTATTCTATACCCCCTGGTCGGAGCGAAATTTTGAATCTTTGTATAGTGAATTTCTATGTGTTTTTTTTAAATCAATATTTCTTCACTTAGTGTAGCTATGTTATTTAAGGAGTTCATTGTGAACCATAGGAACCTGATGTATGGATGATGTTATCCCCACCGATTTTTTTTTTTTTCAGACACAATAACTAATAATGAAAAAAAAAATATACATAATTACTAGCATATCATATCTGATATCTGATTTCATTCAAGTTTTGTGAAATTTTAGAGATTGCCCTTAATTCTACTGGTATATAGTATTTTTATGATATAGACTAGTAATATAGATTAAATAAAATTTAATAATTAGTAATTTACATTAAGGGAAAAAAATACAAAAGAAAGGAGGAGTCGGAAAGTACAAATGGTTACCATGGATTATCAGAATGTTTCGATTTTAAAATCTATTTTAAAATTATAATTTAATTCAAGTTTTTATTCACTCAAAACCAGATCACTTTTATAACAGGTATATATATATATATATATATATATATATATATATATATATATATATATATATATATATATATATATATATATATATATATATATATATATATATATATATATATATATATTATAATATAAAAACAAATAACAGGCAAGGGTCAGAATAGACAAGTATATAAATAGAGAGAAGGAAGAAAAGAAAAAATATATAACAATCAACTTAAAACAATAATTTATATATTTCTGTAATTCTTGATGGCCCAAGATTGGGATCCCAAACAGAATCGTTTCTCTGTCAATACTTGTATGATTGAAATAATTCTCCGTTTTAATTCCTTTGTATTTTCTTCTTACAAAGCATAACATTCTGCGTTTTAATGACAGTGTGCCTCATCTGTAAGTCTAAATGTAACCTTGAATATGTCAGATTTACGAAAGATCAAAAGGTCCATGTTACACATCTTTGCGAAAATGCCATTCAATTGAAATTAAAACGTTCCTAGTCTTTTGCTGTATATCAGGTATGAACGCCGAAAAGGTCATGACAACGTTTTTGATATGTTTACCTTGAAAATTAAGATGTTTGCAGTATATTTAGCTTTAGTTTCTTTGATTTGAGAAAAAAATATATTATTCTGCTAAACAATTCTGTCTAACTATCTTACGTACGCATCATCAAAAATAAAAAAAAACGTGGTGGGGGTGGGGATTATAGGAAAAGACACTTTCCTAAGTCAATTTTCTTTAGATACATGACCCTCCTTACCATTTTAAAAGGGGTCCGTGTTTCCTGGGGGGGGGGGGTCCAAGGTCATTTTTCTAGTTTCTTTTACATAGAAATTTAATAACTCTGAAAATTCCAGGAGGGGGCGTGTGTTCCAAACCCCACTCTAGAATTTAAAAATGCTAACAAGAAGGAACTCATATTTGTACATGTATATTTGCCATTTGAGATAAATTGAATACAGATTTTGGAATTGCAAAAGGGAAAAATCATTTAGGAATAGAAATAAAATAAGGGGCATTAGGTACGGATTTTTCTCCCTCAAAAATAGAGAAAATTTTCCTTAAAAAAAAAACATCAGGGACCTACATGTATATATATACATGTGCTAACATTATAATTTATTTTATCTCCACCTCAACATACTGTACTTAACTGTGTGTACGCATTATAGAGCAAATTTAAATCATAACTTAAACGTTGGTAATTATCTTCTAATAATCCATCCTCGATCCATACACATTTAGAATGAATTTCAAACTGACGGATTTAATTTTTCCAGCGAATCCGGTTTCATAATAATCGAGCGCTCTCGAGTTTCCTGCATGTAATGCCTGGTATTATGGCGTCGTCCACTGCAAGGGCATTTCAAGTAAGTTCTATTTCCTTCAATATATAACGATAAAATACTCAGAAAACAATCCAGAAATAAGATGAGCGTTTTTGGATTCCTCTTGATCAATATAGATCCAAATATCTTGGGATATGGAAAAGATCTCTAGCTCGCTGGTCTGAAAAAAATTGAGATAGACGATCAGAGACCTACAGTGCCACCCATCAAAAAAGTGTATATTTATTGCGCACAAAATACTGGGATGTTTCTCTATTTGTTTCTCCCTATATTTAAGACTACCATCTCAAATTATTTTGCATGTTACCGTGTGTTCCTATTTTTTAATAAATAATTATTACACGCCGGGAGCAAGCCCTGTGCGGCGTGTAATAATTATTTATTTAAAAAAATCATATATGGTAATACTAAAACAACACAAGGGAGGACACCATTTTGGACCCCTTCCTTGCTTCAAACTCTGTTTTTGTTATATTTTCCCGTATTTTACTGACTCACCGCCTCGGATCTGTCAAGTAATGATTCTTCTAGGACATAATGCTTAAATTTTCCCCTTGGAGCCTCTACAATACACATTTCAGACTAATAATAATCCAAACTCGCTCTTTAGGACAGTTGATAGGGAGAGAAAACGAAAATACATTCGAAAATCTCGGGGGTTTTCTACTAGTTAACACAGCTGCTAACTATAAATTTGAAAAAACCGCGTTCTAATTCTGTATTCGAATGTAAAATGCCAAGGTTACTTTTGTTTTCTGTCCCTCAGCAGCCATGACAGTTCTCGCGTGATGTACCGAGACTTGCGCTTGAAATTTAGAATCACTTGATAAAGTAAATGTCGGTGTTGATAAATGTTTGTGTTGTATGATATCACTAAACACCGATAAATAAAAGCATTCCATGGGATATTTTTTTTAATTAACAGTGATATTTATGCTTAAAATAAGGGAAATCCTACACGATCTGCTCCCCTGGATCCCGATTTCTCATTGGTTGTCCCAAAATAAAATCGATCAAGGTCAGTAAACATGGCGGATAAATTCAAGTTGTGATGTTGACATACACGAAAAATAACCTATATTATATATATATGGATTGTTCTGTATATTTTTGGATCAGTTCATGTCTTGCATAACTACATTTTATGAGTTCAGGTAAGATATGTTAATAAAATACTCACTTACTGATAATTTGATTCGAAATCTGTGCGGTAGTGAATCACTCCCACACTTGCACCATTACGGAGATCCTAAGGAGTTGTAGCCCTCTCCCCCCCCCCCCCCCCCCCCTCCAAAAAAAAAAAAAAAATCGGAGAGGGCTACATTATTGCAGCTAGCGGGGAAATAAATCGAGAAAAAGCGCACTTTTTGTGTGCAGTAAATATACACTTTTCTCAATTGGTGGCACTGTAGCTTTTTGTCCATCCCAATTTTTTTTTTCAGACCAGCAAGCTACAGATCTGCAGGTAAAAATGAACAAGCAAGAGTACAATATTGATAATGATAAAGATGTTAATATTTATATATTGAGCTATATATATTTTTAGATTGGACATTTTATCATTAAAATCATAATGTCCTACGGACCTGGTTTAATGATAGAATGGGTTCCTTATGTTAGCAATGTAGTAGAACAAACACAAGCAATTACTCTAACTCACCCTTATACTATGAACAATCCAAAGAATTCCGAATCAGGGGAACGTCAATAAGGCATGTAAATTTGAAATGAGATTAGTACATACAATTTCATGGTGTGAGACAAATTTTCCAGCAGAGTTTTGACGCTGTTTATGAAGAAAAAGAAAATCAAAGACACGCATGATATATATGTATATTGTTTGGTAAATAAATTATCATAGAAGAGAATGGTAATAACAGTTTGCCAGTGCATTAATTCTCTGAGAGTGTAAATGACTACAATTCTGGGGAGGGAGTTACTCCGTGTAATTTGCAGTTAGATAAATTGTGTTATTATAATACTTTGGGTTAAAAAAAATTATTACAGAAACAAGTGTATGAGAGAAGTGAATTAATTCACAGACATAGATTATGTCTCTGCTGCAATATTATTTTTTACACATATAACACACTTCAAGACAGTTTAAACTTCAAGTATTGTCATTTTTAGCTCTACTGGTCAGAGACCAGAAAAGCTTATGTGATAGTAAAGTGTCTCTTGTCTGTCTGTAAAGATTTTTTTCAAAATGCTACTCATCCTACAGTTTTGGTCTGAATTCAACAAAACTTGGCACACAAGCAGACTACATTCAAATATATATATACATAGTTCTGTAAATTTTAATCTGATTACAATAAATCTTGCCACAAAAAGAGACTAAAACCAAGGACCCTGATTTTATTTTTTGCTGTTGCATTGTTTCAAGTCCACATTGCTACATTTATCTTCCTGTTTATAAGTACAAACCAGTAGAGCTACAGTCTCATCAGAGACCTCTGGTAATGTGTAAGGGGTCAGAAATTGGCAAGTGCTAAAGAATTCTATCTTTCATTATATGGAACAGTGGGAAGAAAAAAAATCTTGGAGGATTTCACTCTTATTTTAGGGCTACTTGTGTACTAGATAAATAATTGTCTGATAGTTCTATAATATGCTATATGTAAAAGTAATTAACTCTCACTAAGGTCATTTTATTTTTAAAACTCTCATTTTAACAGACAGTAAAGCCACATATTCCACTAATAAAGTTTCGTTCTGGAAAACAGACGGCAGGTAAGAACTCATAATTTCAATAGATTAGATGTTCTAAAAAGATGAGATTCAAAATTATTTATCATTTGATCATGATAAATATCTTACACCTTTAATTTGTTATCCTAGCTGTTTCTAAAAAAATTTTTTTTTAATAGCCAACCCTGCAATAGTGACCTCAACTTCTCAAACAAATACAGAAAGTTCTCCAATCACCTCTAAAGGGACAAATGTTGCAAGCCCAGGAACCACTCTAGAACACCACCAATTACCCAGGAGATATGCCAGAATACCCTTATCATTAGAAGAAATGGAATATATACAGGTGATATTTGTAGAAAATAAAAAAATAATTAATTTGAACTATTTTTAGGATAAGACAAAGTATTTGTTAAGGGAAAAAAATTCCATTTTTAAAATCGATAAATAAATCAATAAATGAAATACATTCACAAGGATTACTTTAAAATTGAAAAAATTAAATTCGAACTACTGATAATCAGTATTAATCACATCCCCCCCCCCCCCAAAATGTACCGGTATTGAATACCCAACATCAATTTTTCATAGATAAATGCCACTTCTTTTGAAAATCAATTAATTTCTTTAATATGGCAGTATGTATTTTACTTTGAAGGATAAACTAAATTTTTTGTATCTTTCAGAGAGGTGGTCCAGATTGACTTTGAAGAATAAAAGTAATAGATATGTTTTAAATTATTATGTTTAACTTGTATATTTATAACCAAATGTTGACAGTAAAACCATCAAAAACGATGAATGTGTTCAAACATTTGTTATAGTTATTTTTTACAAGTTTGAATATGGTGTTACCATTACTGTGTATGCATGAGTCATTGTACCAGATTAGAATTCATATATTTTGGCCTCTTTTGAATATGCAGGTGCCCTATGAGCAAAAGTGACTTTAACAAGACTATCTCAATTTTAATATTTTTTACAAGGTAGAAAACTTTTGAGAAAGATTTCATTTTGATATTACTTGAATTAAGATTCTTGCAACACTTCCGTGTGACTGACTACAAGCCTGCATTCAAAATTATTGAAACCGCCATCAAAATTTTATGTGATTTAATGTGTGATTATTGTCAAACTTTTGCTTTGATACCCAGGATGTGTGGATGACTGTCAGTTTTTAGCTCACCATGACAAAGTCAAGAAGAGCTTTTGCTATACATGTACCGGTACTCCCAGTGCCAGCATCCCACTTAAATTTTAGAAGCAAGTCCATTTCAGTGTAACTATTAGCCCTACCTAGATTAAACTTGCATAGATGATATACACTACCATACATGCTTCAGACGCTAGATATGACATTTTTTGTAGATAAGTGACAAGTTTAAAGATTTCGGAGCAGATCATTCCAAAGTAACTATTGGCCATATTGTGACTAGCATGGATGATGTATCTAGGAATGCACACTACTTGAACATTCATTTTTGTGAGACCTTGCCTTATACGTAACTTTTGTCGAGGTGAGCTTAGTAATCTCTGATTACCTGTTTTAGTTTGTATAACTGATGATCTAAAGATATAGGAGAGAATAAGGTTCACCTCAGCCAGAGTGATATGTATTTGAGACAAAAGGTCTCGCATCAGTTTCACATTGAATTTTCTCAAAGATGCTTAAACACGTACTTTCATCATTGCAACTGTAAAAGTGTAATAGTCTGCATCTTCAGTAGCATAATACATCACGTTCAGACCCAGTAGGGACTACAGTTACTACTGAATGGACCTACTCCAAAAGATTTAAATTGGTCTTAAGGATCTGAGACAGGAACAAATCAAGTAACCTTATAGGTGCATAATCCCTGCAAGTTGGTTTGAGTTGAGGCTCCAAGATCTTTAATCTGTCCATTCATTTTGAAACATAGGGCAGATCCAGATCACAGCTGATGATAAATATCCCAAGATGCATCTTCCCTGTTTGACCCAGGTAGGGCTTAGGATGACTTGGAAAATAGATCTTTTTCAAAACTGGGATGCTGAGACAGGGGATATAGCTATAGCATTTGTTGAGATGAACTAAAAATTATTTTACATACTAGGTTACAAAAAGACATGCAGGATCCTGCAATTTTTTTTATGTGTGTGTGGGTGTGCTGAGTTTGAATCTTGACATTTGACCATGGTACCTAAACACCTCTAGCTGTTTCTCCATGTCAGGATTCTATGACACCAAGTAATTTTCACAGCCTTTGAATAAATGTGCTCCCTTCCTAGCCCAAGGGGCCATAATATCAGTTTCAAAGGGCCATAAGTATGTAAATATTTGGCCAAATCCCTTGAAACACACACTTGTTCCGAGACTCATTCTTATAAAGTAAAATGCCAAGTTTTAAAGAAATAAGAAAAACTGAACTGTCCACAGACAGACAGATGGACAGACAGTGCAATATTGTTATATGTTCATCAAAAAACAGGCAAATAAGAATTTTGAAAGCACTCTTGAGATACATGTAACTGGTTATCTTACTCAACTGAGCCAAATAGAAATTTTGCCATCAAATACATTTGCTGCTGCTTAAAGCATTTCTTTCATAATTACTTCTTTCACTTTAGGAAAGCAAGAACAAAAACAAAGTTCAGTGTATCTGTATTTAGCATACATGTACGAACAAGGTACACATTTACATGTGTATAAACCTGCACACTTCACAGTTTTCTATGAATATACTGTAGTACTGTGAAAGTCTTGATCATTGCTGTTGTTTTAATTTGCATTTACTACATGAAATCACATTATTTAATTCATTTTTTGAATGCTTGGAAATCTCATAAATCAGTGAAGCTAATGTAACTCAGTCAGATGACAATTCTTTTGAGTCTTTAACTTTGAGTTTCATTTTAATGGGTTTCCTGAGCTCTGTTCCTTCAGAGCTCTCCCCTTCTGAAGAATTACAACTAGGCTTAAATGACAAGGGAGGGAAATCTTCAGGATCTGATTCAAATTCAAACTCATCTTTACGTTTCTGGCTTGTTTTTCTTTTCTTTCCATGTTTTGTTTCCCCAGGCTCCTGAGGAAGACTCGAGTGATGTGAGTACTTTGGTTCACGTGCTGGAGAATCTTTGTGGGCGTAATAGTAGGGCGAGTCTTTATGACTGTGGGGTGAGTCTTTATGAGTGTGAGGGGAAGACTTGTATTCCCTTGATGAATGAGGGGAACTTTTGGCCTCTCTATGAAAATGAGGGGACAACTTAGGGGAGTATTTTGGCTCCTTGTGATGTGGAGACACTCTGGTCTGGTAGCTATGTGGAGATGACTTTTTAGACTCCTTAGATTTTGCCTCTATTTTCACATTAGGAAGTTTACCAGGGCGGGTGATTATTTTAAGTTTGATCCCCTTTTTATGTTCACTGCCTTTGGAGGTCCCAGGGAGGGAATACGGAGGGTCATCCTCATTACTGTCAGGTGACTCCACAGGATAATACTGTACCTGGCTCTTGGTCCTTTTTCTTACAGGTCTATAGGGAATAACCTCTGCTTCACCAAAATCATCATCACTGTCCTCTTTCAGCATCTTGGAGATTCTTTCTTCAGCTACCTTCTTATTTCGCCTTGTTTCATGATTTATCCTCTCCATTTCCTCCCTTTCTCTTTCAATCTCAGCTTGCCTTATTTCTTCTAGTCTTTTTTTGCCTGCCTCCATTAACCTTTGATGCTCTACTTGGTGTTTCCTATCTCTTGCCCGTTTCTCTTCGTTGATCAGACGCTGTATTCTTTCTTTTTCAGCCTTCTCTCTATCCAACTGTTGCTGTAATTTCACTTGTTCCATGAATTCCTTCAATAGCTCTTCTCCACTTTTAGAAGCATCAGCATCAGAGAGAGACACAAGTTTTTCTCTCAATTTTGGAGTAAACACCTTCTGTTTAATATTAAACTTTTCATTAAAGTCAGGCATAAATTTTGACAAGCTGTCTCCAAAATATTCATACATGTCGCTGTATAATTTTGAAATGGTATTCTGGGCATCTACAATCAAGTCCTTGCTTCCTGGTGAATCTCCACTGGGTTCTTGGTTTAAAAGGTCGGACAATTCCAGTTTGTCATACTTTTCTTTCAGCAGGTCTTCATACTGCTTCACTTGTGTTTTCATCATGGATTCTACACTTAACTGTGAAACAAAAACATAAAATGAATGGAGGAATAAGTATTTCTATCAATGCAAAAATAAATATGTTACTTTGTAAATATTTGTGTACCAATACCATATACCCTAAGTGGATTATTTAGCGAGATGCAGAGGCAAATTTAGCAATTTCTTCTTTAAAAAATTATATATAATTTTAGCGAGAAGTAATTTTAGCGATTATATACTTCCATGAAAGTTAAGTCTTACCTCCTATTCAGAATGAATAGCGATTTAAATTTTAGCGACCTCAACACACTCCCTGATCATGCCAAAATTGAATCCTCGCTAAAAATTCTACTTATATGGTATCTATTGAAAGGTAAGAAAAATTACCAATAAAGCACCATAAACTTTGAATGCATCAGCCTTGGTGAGGGCATTGGAGAAGGAGTTGTCCTCAAGGACTGGGGACAAGTGAGTCCAGTACACTGGTATCTGAGGAACTAACACATCATCTATCACCTTGAGGGAAAGAGGAAAACATAGTAGAGTCCATTGCAGATATGAAAAGATTAATACTTTAATATCATTAATGAAAACATGACCCCTTTAAAAATTGTGCAAATGTTATTTGGTGATATATGTATGTACATTGTATATGTCGTAAAAAATTTTTAAATCAAAAAACATATTGTATATGGTAAGACAAAAAGAACACACACACAAAAAATAATTATCTTATGACACAATGCACACTTTTATGAAATTAAATATTCAAAATATTCCCAAAATATAACTGATTAATCTATTTGGGGTCTTTATTTTTTTTTCTCTTGGATCCCCTTGTGTACCTGTGGCCCTAAAGCTTGTATACCCTTCACAGCTCCATAATGACAACAGAAAGGCTTTGCGTGGTCACACAGTACCTCCTTCAGATTCCTTATGGTGGTGTGCATCAGATGATTCACAGGGCTTGACCATGTGCTGCATAAAAATAGTATTCTCAAGTGTCATATGAATATAAAAAGTGTGTCAGAAACGTTACAGACTGTTTTTCATTAGATTCATTACAATTTTAAATAGTAGTGACAATGGAGATGTTATTTATTCAAGAATAATATACTGTATATACTCACCTATAAGTCGTTTTTTTGGGAGTTAAATTTTGGTCCCAAACTCTATGTCTGACTTATAGGCGAGTCCTAAAAAGATTGGTATTTTCTGGACGGCGAAATGTACTATTTTTTTTTAACAACTCCCGAGATTATCGTCGACAAAAGTCTGGACATTCTATGCATTTATGCATTTTAAGATTGTGCACAAGTATTTACATATTTTGATAATTTTTTTCAATCTTAAATGTGTATTATTTATATTGTTAAGATTATTTACGTAACTAAATCGTTCAATAACTTGTGACTTACTCTGTTGTACCAACTTATAGGCGGGTAAATGGCAAATCCCTCCACTCAAAGCTAAAAAATTACAACTGACTTGTAGACGGACCAACTTATGGGCGAGTATATACGGTACATGTACTTTTCATTCCTGAGCATAAATTTCTTCTACATATGTATTTTACATATTAGGACTATTTATAGCTCAAACAGATCACTACTAGAAAATTAGCAAACACTGAAGCATACTGAACGATCTGTGCCAACACCCTAGCTGCATAGTCTCTTAATGTCCAG